TAATTTTCCACTAGAATGTATCGTATATCTTACTGGTAAAAATACTGTACAATAATTTTGCAAGGTTTTTAATAATTAAAAAGGAAACCCATATATTAATCTGTTGCCTGTTGTTTCTTCTAGGCAGGAATACCGATGGGACCAATGCCAGCAGCAGGCATGCCTTTCCTGGGGCAGCCACCATTCCTGGGCATGCGTCCTCCAGGCCCACAGTACACTCCAGACATGCAGAAGCAGTTTGCTGAAGAGCAACAGTAAGGACTCCCAGGACCCAGGGAGAACCCGGCTACCCAGCTGCAGCTATTCTATAGATTATCAAATGCTCTGTAGTTTGAAGCTGAAAGAGATACATTGTCTTTAGCACACTTTAAAAACGAGTTTGTTTGTTGTTTGGTTTTTAGACCCAACCCTTTAAATACTCTTGTAAGAAGTTTAGAGTCAACTAAGTGGTGTGGCACTTACCTGTAAGCCTGCCTCTCAGGAGGCTGGGGTAGAAATGTGAGTTTAAGGCTGGAGGCCAATAAAGCAAGAGTCTATCTCAGACAAAGCAAAACAAAAACACAGAATAAAGATGGATCTGAAATGAAGTGGTTTTCAGCACAGGTTACAAAGTTACCAACAAACTTGGTTGTCTGGTAGGTCCTTGCTCCTCAGAGCATGGCTCTTGTTCCTGGAGACTCTGCCTTCTTTTCCATTGAAATTCCATGTTTGTTTGCTTGGTTTTTGTCTTTTTTGTTGTTTTGATTTCTGAAATCAGAGTAACAAAAAGGCCCAGGGTGGTCTTGATTTGCAGTCTTGGTGCCCAGGCCTCCCAAATGCTGGGATTATAGGTTTTTTCTTCTACACCCAGTTTCCTAAATTGGTTGTTGTTGCTGCTACTGTTTGATGGTACAGCATTAGCTGCTAGGCAAGTGATGTACCACAGAACTACCTTCAGCCTGCGTTTTGCTTTCTTATATGCAGAACAAAGTGTGCTTTTATGTTCATCTCTCTCCCTGGTATTCGTTACTGCTCAGTGCACCAAGATTGTTTCCTCTACTGCTGGAAGTCTAAGGGTGGAGAAAGGGGTTCATGTTCTCTGCCAATTAAAAAAATTAAAAGCAGGAAAGAAATAATACTGGAGATCTGTGGAGTCCCAACAGAGCCATCATATGGTACCTTGGGAGTCGGGGTCCCCTCTTGGGGCTCTTTGTCTCATTGATGATGCAATTTGAGAATGAACACAAAGGGAATTTTGAAGACAAAGAACAGATTTAGACAGAAGCTAATGGACAGTTTATTAGAGTTTGAAAGGAAAACTCCAGCGCAGCAAGCTGTAGCTCTCCCAGGTGCCTGAAGGGGGAGGGTGGAAAGGGTAAGATGGTGCGGAGGTCAGCCACGTGGTGTCAGGCAGCCACGTGGCAGGGCAAAGGGACCTTAGGAACAGACAGAGTGAGGAAGCCCAAAGCATTAGAAGTTTAAGAGCACACTTAGCCTCTGGTCAACATCCAGAAGGGAAAAAAAAAAAAAAAACGAAAGAAGAAAAAGAAATAATTACACTTTTACACTTTTCGGGGTCAGGTTTCAGAAAGGTGAAACCTCACAGGAATTGCACCAGTGGGAGAGGGTTCTTGGAAGGAAAGGTGTATGTTATCTTTTTTTAATTGATAATTTGAAAAATATTTTAAGATCAAATATAATTATACTACCCCCTTCTCTTTTCTCCCTTGAAGTCCTCCCATATATCCCTCCCCTGCTCGCTCTCTCTCAAATCTGTGGCCTCTCAAGTACAACCTACTTAGCCTATATAATTTTACTTGTATGAATATAATTTCAGGGCTGACCACTTGGTTTTGGGTAACCAATTGAGGGGTTCATTCCTAAGGTGAACCTGCCATCCTGGGGTGGTTCCCTAGCCAAGTCCTTTGCCAGGTTGGGTTAATCCTTAAGGGAGGAGACAAGGGCATGTTTCCACCTAAAGGTGGATTTCTCTCTTTACACTTGGAGCTATCTCAATTGTAGCAAGATATCTGGCAAGCATAGATCCCGGATTTCATACTCAGCTCCACCACCAGTACCCACCACCGGTGGGGAAAAAAAAAAAAGAATACTTTCTTTGCCTTGCAAATTAGGTAAGAAATAAAAACATACATGTAAATTAAGTGAATCATTCTGTAGATTTATTTAAAATATTTTAGAGCTAGTATACAGGAGAAACAGATTGTCATAAGAGAATTACATATAATCAAGAGTGAAGATTATAATTCTAGAAATGCAAGTTGGTATTGCTGAAGCTGATAGTAAAATCTGAATGTAACCATAACTACCTGACTGAATGTTGATGTGATTATTTTCTCTTCAGAAAACGATTTGAACAGCAACAAAAACTCTTAGAGGAAGAAAGGAAAAGACGTCAGTTTGAAGAGCAAAAACAGAAGCTCAGACTTTTGAGTAGCGTGAAACCCAAGGTGATGTATGCACACACACACACCCCAGCACACACGCGTGCCCTGTGCATGCCTCCACTCACTCAGGCAGCAGCCCAAGCTGAGGCTGCAGTGGATTTTCTTTATATCATGGTTTACCTAAGTCCTAAAGGGAAGGGCTTTCTTTTTCTGTACAGATCAATGTGCTACTGTTGGGGAAAACAAGTATCAGCCACTGTCTTCTCAACTCTCTCTTTTTAGCCACCCATGACAATGTTTATTTTTCTTGGGAAACATTGATCATAGATGGGAGAGTAGGAAATATATTTGTCAGGTTTCTCATAGAACATTTAGTATCTTATAGCCCTGCCCCATAGTATTTGAGAATGAACCTTTTAAATTTTTTTATATTCTGTAGAATATCTTTTTATGCCTTTATTTTATACTTGTTGATGTCTTTCTAACTTGAAAAATTATCAGAAGTACATAGTAAGAATCTTGGAACTAAAGCCATTCCTGTATTCTTGTACTTGAGAGTCAAAAGCAGGAGGATGACCATGAGTTTGAGACCAGTCTGGACTACAAAGTGAACTCTAAAACCTTGTCTCAGAAACAAACAAACAAACAAAAAGGCGAAAGGGACATCAGAAATAGGTCTGTGTGTGTTAGTTTGAGAGGGGAAGATGGTGGGAGACGAGGGAAGAACTAAACACAGGCTTCCTGTCTTGCAGACCGGAGAGAAGAACAGAGACCACGCCTTGGAAGCCATAAAAGGGAACTTAGATGGATTTTCCAGAGATGCTAAGATGCATCCCACTCCAGCATCACACCCCAAGAAACCAGGTAGTTTTTACTGTAAGAAACTCAAAAATATTCTTTCCTTGGAAGTTGGTTGATCATCTCCCCATGTTCCATTGGCCTCTGCGTGTGCAGGTCAGTGCTGAACTTTTCCTTCAAGCTAAATTCAGATTTAAACATTTTAAAATGTAAGGATCTGACCCAGTTAACAGCTAAGCTGGAGGTTCAAATCCTTAGTTCTCCACTTAGACATCACTTTAATAACTTCTCGGGAAATTTGTACAGCGAGTGTACTGATATTAAGAACGTTTTTTGTGCCAGGCATGATGGTGCACACCTTTAATACCAGCATTCGTGAGGGAGAAGTAGGAGGATCTCTGAATCTGAGGCCAGCCTGGTCTGCTGGGAGAGACCCTGACTAAAAAAAAAAAAAAAAAAGAAAGAAAAGAAAGTCTGCGGACTCAAAGAAATGTAGTGAATTTACTAATCCATCTTCATTATTATCATATGAAATATGTTCTCTTGTGAGCTAGGTCAGATTTCATTGTTTATGTGACAAGATTTAGAAATTCTCAGAACACCCATTTTAAAATAGTCATGGCTATACTATCCCTCAGGGAAATTCAGTTTCTTCATAGACTTCTGTGTAGTGTTTAATCATGAGGTAATCAAATTGCCTTTTTGAGAAAGAAGCAGGGTAAAGAGATTTTTGTTATCATTTTGAACACTTAGCAGTTGAAATTGTCCGCAAAATGTTTTCTTGTCTCTTTGAAGTTAAATATTTTGACATTTTGTTATCAGCTACTTTCAATAATATACCATTAATAGGCCATTTTCATAAATCATTCTTCAAACCAAAAGTTACTAACTATATTCTGCTAGAAAATACTATATCAATAAATTTTATTTTAAATTCTTGTGTTTAGTATCTCTTATAAGTTAGTATCAAGAGAAAATAATACTGACGTTGTTATCAATTCTTTTTTTTAAGTATTTATTTGTGTGTGTGTGTGTGTGTGTGTGTGTGTGTGTGTTGGTGCCCACCAAGGCCCTCAGATCCCCTGACCTGGAGTTACAGGCTGTTGTGAAACTGATACGGGTGCCAGAAACTGCACTCGGGTCCTCTGGAAGAGTGATAAATGCTTTTAAACACTGAGCCATCTCTTCAGCCTGTTACGAAATCTTGATTTTTCTGGCTCAGCTTTGACTCTATCCTGTTAATTTTACTGATTAGATTATGTGCCTTGATTCCTATTACCAAAATCAAGTTCAAATTAAAGTATATATTAAAATTGGGAGGAGAATAGATACTATCAACCATTTTGAGATAAGGAGAAGTATATCTAAAACTGAAAATTGTCAGCCATACAAGCTAGTGATGAAGTGATCCAGGCAGTGTGGTGGTACATCCCTGTAATCTTAGCACCCAGAGGCTAACATAGGGGAGTTGTGAGTTTGAGGCTAGCCTAGAGCACATACATAGCAAGTTCTAGGTCAACTCAAGCTACATAACTGAGCCTATTGGCATACAAACATTGCAAGTTAAGACTAAAAATGTACCTGGCACCAAACCTAGAAAAACCAGAGAGCAGTGGCCATTGTTAGGCCCGACATTGTATTCACACCAATTTCCCTTGTCAGCACAGATCTGTGGGCAGCAGTTAGCAGCAAGGGAGACTTGTTAAGTAATCAGTTGTGTTGTTCAGATGCTGTTCATATTTATATATTTGTCTGTTTGTTTAGTACGATTGTTTAGGCCAAGTGTAGTGGTGTATGCCTTTAAACCCAGCACTTGAGAGGCAAAGGCAGGCAGATCTCTGTGAGTTTGAGGCCAGCCTGGCCTACAGAGCAAGTTCCAGGACAGTCAGGATTTAGCTGAGAGACTCTGTCTCATAAAACAAACAAAAGAAGTATTATCAGACAGACCTCTTGGATTTCAGAAGTAATTATCACTTTGATACATGTTTAGTACTACCCAATAAAATGAAAGAAGGAAATTTGAGTTAATTTTGTCTGTTTTTTTCGCCAAGTATAAAATAGCTCCAGAACTTATTTTTAGAACAAAACAGACATCAGTGTTCCATGAGCACTGTGTTTCCATTTGACAGTTGTTTCTTCCTCCCTTCCACTGTTCCTAGTTCAGTGTGTTCTGAGGGTTGTGTTACCTCTGGATTTCTTTCTCTTTGGTTTTCATTCCTGTATGTTTCATTGCCATTTTCCATTTTGCAGATTGTCCCACATCATCTCATTCTACCAAAACTGTCTCCCCATCACCTGCCTTTCTTGACGAAGACGAATTCAGTGACTTTATGCAGGGGCCTGTTGAGGTTTCTGCTTGTGGGCCCTCTCCCATGGCCCGGCCCTTTCAGTCTTTCCTTCCCACCACCCCACTCGTCCAGGTGCACACACAGAAGGCTGGAGCACAGCCTCTCCCTCCAGGTCAGGTTCCAGTGTCTTTTGCCTTACATGGTGGCCATGGGCAAATCCCTTGTTTCTCTACTGCTTCAGCTTCACCCAGTGTGCAGAAAGCAGGTAACTCCGGTGTTATTATCCGAGTGTTAAGATATTCTAGATAATTTATTTCTCTTACATATGTAGAATTATACAGTGCTGTTGGCAAAGAAATGCATATATGAGTTGTGAGAATGATCAACAGCCACCAACGCAAGGCTAGATTCAGTTTTTACATCTTCATTTGCCAGAAAAGTGATTTGAAACCTTTTGCTGCTGTGTTAGAAACAGGTGAAACCAGTGCAAAACTTTAACAGCAAACTGACCTCCTAAGATCATGCTTTGGTTTGGGGAAAAAAATCACTGATATCATGTTATAGTAATGCCCTAGGGAGAACTCAGTTAAAAAGTAATCGTTCAGGACCAATGAGATGGCTCATTGGATAAAGTGCTTGCTACCAAGCCTGATGACCTGAGTTTATCCCCAGAGCTCACACTCTGGAAGGAGAGAAGGGACTCCCAGAGCTGTCTGCTCACTTTCATACACGCACCAACATACACACACAAAAAGCAATAAATGTAAAGTAATCCTTCTCAAGTGTGATCTCTCTAGCCAGTTATGATATACACATCTGTAATCCATTCCTTGAGATATAGAGGCAGAAAAATCAGGAGTTCAAGGTCATTTGCTATATAGTTCAAGGAAGTCTGGGCTACATGAGACCTTTTATCAAAAAGAAAGAAAAAGGGAGGGAGGGAGGGGGGAAGGAAGGAAAGGAAGGAAGGAAGGAAGGAGAAATAGACTCCATCTAAAATGGACATGATGACCCATGTCTGTAATCCCAGCACCTGGCAGATGGTGGCTGCAGGACCTGCTCAGGCTTGAGACCAGCCTGCTACAGTGACATGTTTTGTCCTTGGACAAGTCAAGTCTTTACACATTTCTTTACTTCCATTTTTATCATTTGTGAAATTATGGGGTAGGTACAGTCTATCTCAAGACAGAGTGTTCTGGGAAAGGTCTTTGGAGACCTGGACTTAATCTATAAATTGTCATTTGACAGACATGGAAACAGGCCAGACAGGGGTCTCCCGCTAGTTAGAAGGAGTGTCTGTGTCTGATAACTTGACCAGTTTCTACAGCAGTGCACATTCCCAATACGTGATTCTACATACTGTGGCATGCAATCCCTGAGAACCAGAGCAGGGTAATTATATTAAGTCTCCCCAAACACCTGAAGCCTCTCAAACTCTACACTAATGGGTAACAATTGAATTATTATGAAATTCCATTCTCCGTGGGAGGGAGGGTGGAAGGGATGATGAGAAGATTGGAATATGGAAGTATACAAGTAACCCTTCATGCTGTTTGTTTAGGCCCTTCCTTGGAAGAGAAGCTCCTAGTATCTTGTGATATAAGTACATCTGGGCAGGAACAAATTAAATTAAACACTCCTGAAGTTGGGCACAAAGCCGTAGTCGCAGGTTCCAGTAAGAACGGTCCCGGTTTAATGGCCCGTAATGGGGGTGCTGTAGATGGATGTGTAAGTGGTCCCACCACTGCAGAGGCAGAAAAGACTTCAGACCAAAACCTGCCCAGTGGAGAGAGTGGTGAGCCCCTGCTGCGTCCTGCACACAGTTTGTTTAACCAGCTGCTGCTCCGCTGCTAACACTTTCAGCATTAATCTTAAAATGGATACTGCTTGGTTGTGCTAATTCAAATTTTGCTTACAAAATATTTATGCAATCTTTTCTCCAATTAACCCCTAAGATTTTGCTCTGAATTCTTTGAATGCACTGAATTACTTCTTTTCAAATGGTTTTGATAAACCTGTTCATAATCAGAGCCTTCTGGTCTAAATTCCCTTTCATTCTACAACAGCTCCCTTTGATTCCCCTTGCACTTTCTGGTTTTCTATAGCTGTAACTGGAAAAGTCACCAATGAAATGCAATTTTTCTCTCAGAACTAAAGTGTCTGTGCAGCTGCCGGAAAGATCCAGATTTGCGCACTCAAGGCCCTGGGCTTGAGCCCACAGCACAGGAGAAATACAAGCAGGTCTTTGGGCTGCAGTTGAGCGCTCACTCAGCACCTACATGGCCCTCGATCCCGTTCCCAAAACACAAAAGCTAAATCCAGATTTTAACTGTGGAGATGAATCAGAATGTGGGCAGCCCTAGAGATAGACTCCAGGAGGATATTTTACACATGGAATTTTAAGCCACTGTCTATTGTGTTTTTCCCTTAACCCGTCAAGCACATTAAATGGTGCATGCCTCCTGTGACTCAGATTATTGATTTGGAGCCTGTACTTTCTCTTTATATTTTAATACATAGTTACTATACCAGAGTTGTTGGAAACCAAGCACTTTTGTTATATTGGTGACTTTTTTCTAGTGACTCCAACCAGCGCTCCTCTTTGTGAAAAGGAGTGGCCTTCCTCTTCTCCAGAGCATATGTACATTAACCATCCTTACCTTCTAGGTGTGGGTGTGTTTCCCTCTCAGGATCCTGCTCAGCCCAGGATGCCTCCTTGGATTTACAATGAGAGTTTGGTTCCAGGTAAAGTAAAGCTTCTCTGCCCAGCATTCCCCTCTGGATATTTTACTTTAAATATTATAGAAGTATTTTCTAAATACTCACTGTCATAAAATATGCAGAAGGATTTGTTACAGTTTTTTTCTGCAGGAGGATAGAAAACTAAATAAAACTTCATGTTTAAAACTGTTTTATAGGCTGGGCATGGTGAATGCCTTTACTTTCAGTGCTTAGGCAGAGGCAGGCAGCTGTCTGTGCATTCCAGGACAGCCAGGGCTACACAGTGAGACCTTGGAGTTGGAGAGATGGCTCAGTGGTTAAGAGCATTGCCTGCTCTTCCAAAAGTCCTGAGTTCAATTCCCAGCAACCACATGGTGGCTCACAACCATCTGTAATGAGGTCTGGTGCCTTCTTCTGGCTTTCAGGCATACACGCAGACAGAATATTATATACATAATAAATAAATATTAAAAAAAGAAATCCTGAATATGTATCTCTGGTGTATATACATATTTTAAAAAAAAGACTACTTTATTGAGAATGGCACGATGGCTCATGGGGGCAAAGGCCAAACAATTAGAGTTACTGTGTTTTAAATGATGATATTATCAGATATTTATTTCAAAGATTATTAATAACCTATCATGAATCAAAGTATTTGGGACTGAAGAGATGGCTCAGTGGTTAAGAGTATAGCTGCTCTTCCAGAAGACCTGGGTTCAAGTCCCAGCACCCACATAATGATTCACAACTACATTCCAGTTCCAGAGCATCAGACACCTGTTTTGGCCTCTGCGGGCACCAGGTATACATGTAGTGCACAGATCTACATCCAGGCAAAACACCCATACACATAAAAGTTGAAAAATATCTTTTTTAAAGAATCACACTAATATGTTTAATACTTTCTCAATTCATAAGGATTTTTTTAAAAATACTTTTTCTGATTGTCCTATAAAACTATATGAACTGCAAGATTGAGTATCATCATTTTCTACATTGGAAAGTGGTTTCTTTTTTTATGTTTAGTATCAGTGCTGAGCTGAGGAAATGACTAAGATGTGTGTGGTAGTCCTTGGTGGGTGCCAGACGATGGTACAGTGATCAGTAGGCACAGAAACAACAGTCATTCCAGCAGCAGGTGCCAAGGTTAGCAAGTCACAGCTGCTTGGTTTGCTGCTCAGCACCTTGCAAGCTGGAGGTCCACTGGCTCATCAGTGCTCAAGGTTGGTACAGACAGAAGTTGTTCTACCCTTGAGTAAGTCAGCCTTGGTGTAAGATCTCTACAGAAGAATTTATTTATTGGAGAAATTAGTAATGTCTGCTTTTTATTGTAATCATACAACCGTAAATCAAAGGCTAGATGATCTCTCAAACCATGGGGGACTCTATGTACCCATTTTGAGTTTCTTCCCTTTCCTCTCTTCAAATCTACAGAAACTAGATCTTAGATTTTAGTTCTGTCCATTTTCTGATAGTTTATCTTCTCCTTCATTCTTCATACACAAGCATGCATCCCCTTTGAAGTCTGTGGAGGTCAGAGGACAACTTGTGGGAGTCAGTCCTCTCCTTCCACCTTACGGGTCCCAAGGATTGAACTCAGGTCATCGGCCTTGGCAGCGGGTGCCTTTCCCCACTGAGCCAGATGCCAACTAAATTAAAGCAGTTAACTTAAAGTCATTTTTTGTACCAGTGATGGCAGCAGCGAGTCGTTTTCCTGCACTGTGCGTTTGTCATCTACTCTTTCTCTTAACAGATGCTTATAAGAAAATTTTAGAGACGACAATGACTCCAACTGGAATAGATACTGCTAAACTTTATCCCATTCTGATGTCATCTGGACTTCCCAGGGAAACCCTCGGGCAGATATGGGCCTTAGCCAACCGGACTACACCCGGCAAACTTACTAAGGAAGAGCTTTATACTGTTCTCGCCATGGTAGCAGTAACACAGGTAGACTTCGCGTTTTACGTTAAAACAAGTGTGTTACTACAAGTTGAAAGAGCGTGAGCCCCCTTTTCACTACCGCCTTTTAGATAGATTGCTTTGTCCATTAAAATTTAGATTATTTGTGATAAGGTGTTTCAGAAATGTATTGTCCTTATAATGCACATCCTAGCAAGTTATCCTTTTGTTTGAAAGTAATTGATGACGTCAGTTTCTGCCCTTGTTTAGAATTTCTTAAAGTATACTTAGCCTGGTAACAACTTTTGTTATATTTTGAAATTAGTTTAAGTTACTTGGTTTTAGCATAATGGCCAAGCTTACCAGACAGAATATGTCACAGTTGATGTGTGCTGGCCATGTCTAAGTATTAGCATTGGATTTTTTGTTTTTGTGTTGGTTTTTTTTAAGACAGGGTCAAGTGCTGGGATGAAAGTGTGTACCACCACCGCCAGCTAGCAGTGGATTTTTAAGTGAGGAAAGTATGATGAAATAAACAGGTCCACATTTATGTTTGCTGTGTGAAAGGATGGCCGCGTATAATTGCATTTTAGAAGTATAAGTCAGGCCAGGCAGTGGTGGCGCATGCCTTTAATCCCAGCACTTGGGAGGCAGAGACAGAGGCAGGTGGATCTCTGTGGAGTTCGAGGCCAGCCTGGTCTATCAAGCGAGTTCTAGGACAGGCTCCAAAGCTACACAGAGAAACCCTGTCTCAAAAAACAAAACAAACAACAACAACAGCAAAGTATGGGGCAGTAGTGGATCCTGCTGCACTGCCCTTTTCACTCTTCCCCTGGTGTCAGGTTCATGTGCTTGTGCTTGAGGAATCAGAGAGTGAAGCAACAGGTCTCTCGTGCACAGACTATGACTATGATCTGCAGTCAATTAAATGTTTTTATTTCCTGCTCTTTCCTGTAGAGGGGTGTTCCTGCCATGAGCCCTGATGCTTTGAACCAGTTCCCAGCAGCTCCCATTCCTACCTTAAGCGGCTTTCCTATGGCTCTGCCTACCCCAGTGAGCCAGCCCACTGCGATGCCCTCTGTTCCTGCAGGCTCCATGCCTCTCAGCCTTGGACAGCCCATCATGGGCATTAACCTTGTTGGACCAGTGGGTGGAGCTGCAGCACCAGCTTCCAGTGGCTTCATGCCAGCCTACCCCTCAAACCAGGTAAGTGGAGAAGCTATGTGTCTGCCAGATCATTCCTAGAAGTACATGTAGGCAGCTTTCCTTCCAGAGGCTCAGTCTGCTGGGCTATAGCGGGAACATGATGTGAAAATTAAGCCGTGTGGCCACAGAGGTGTGGTTCATTCAATGACCTCTCACCTAGGATGCTCAGGATCCTAAATTCGACCTCAGCTCTGCAAGAAATAAAATAACTTTTGAGTATTAAGATAATACAAAATTAGCTTATTTTTGTTTGTTTTTAATTATTTTTAAGTACACAAAATATTTGTTGAGAATTAAGGTATTTGCTACAATGGAAAGCAGTTAAGGAAGACGTGATACCAACCTCTGACCTTCTGCACATTCTTGCACATGCAGGTGTGTGCGTGTATACCACATACAGAGAGAAAGAGGGAGACTTAAGGCCAGACGTGGTAGTGTACACCTTTGATTTCAGCTCTCAGGAGGCAGAGGCAGTAGATGTATCTATGTGTCTGAGGTCATCCTAGTTTACATGGAGAGTTGCATGCCGGCCAGAACTACATGGTGTCTTAGTCAAGGTTTCTATTGTTACGATGAAACACCAGGACCAAAAGCAAGTTGGGAAAAAGGGTTTATATAGCTTACATTTCCACATTGCTGTTCATTATTGAAAGAAGTCAGACAGAAACTCAAATAGGGCATGACCCTGGAAGCAGGAACTGATGCAGAGGCCATGCTCAGCCTGTTTTCTTATAGAACCCAGGACCAACCACCCAGGGAGGGCATCACCCATCATGGATTAGGCTCTCCCCCATTGATTACTGATTGAGAAAATGCCTTACAGCTGGCTCTCATGGAGGCATTTCCTCAACTGAGGCCCCTTCCTCTCTGATGACTCCAGCTTGTGTCAAGTTGACACACAAAGCCAGCCACCTAGTAAACATAGTGAGATCCTGTCTCAAAAAAAAAAAGGTTTAAAAATTTCACTTCTCAAATTAGCAAACCAATGTTTTTAATGTGAAAATATTTAATGTCAATGGTCAATGAACATGTAGGAAAGAGTGGCTAACCCTGCACCCTGCGGGTAGGTCTGTTGGCACAATTGTTTGAAAACATACCCATGTCTTCAGAGATAGTAACTGATGTTAGCAGAGATGGACAGAATGTCAGCAGTAACACTGCTTGTTAGAATACAATGTACTGCTCATCATGAAGAAAATGCTCAATGGATTTCCGTTTCTCTATACAGTGGATGGCAGTCGTTAAAATTAACGAAACAGATGTGCATTTATGGCATGGAAGGATGAGCCTGTTGTGTAATTACATTTTTAAAATACTGAACAGTGTAGTGTGAGCTTGTTCCATAAGGCAAATGGGCCATGAACAGTCTACTGCTGCCCTGGTGTTAGCCTAGGAGCCAGTGTTTGCTTTATGCATGTGTAGGACTGTCATGAGGGACTCGTGTGTCTGTTCACAAACATTGATGCTGTTGGCATCAGTTTGCTGTCAGCAACCCGACAAATTTAGTACAGCTACTTTAAAAATATTCAGAGGTTAGCTATTTAGGCCAGTCTCTTTACATTTGTGCTAGAGAATACTTTAAAATACGAAACAGAATTCTTGCCTTAAGCATTTTCGTTGTTCTATCTCAATATGTTCTTGCCTGGAGCTATATATGCTCAGTGGTAGAGCGCTGGCCTCATGCACACAAGATCCTGTGTTCACCTCCAGCACAGTGCATGTGCACACACACGTACCCCATTATGAAATTAGGCAGTTGTAACTAAATTGAGCAATTAAATGATAGTCTTTGAGATTGCTGCTTAGCGAAGAGTTGTTTTGACAATCTCGTGTTCCCTATGTAAATATCCTTTCTGTGCTGGCTAGTCTTATGTCAACTTGACATAAACCAGATTAATCTGAAATGTCCTAATTGGGAAAATGCTTCCGTAAGATCTGGCTATAGGGCATTTTCATAATTAGTGGTTGATGGGGGAGGGCTCAGCCCATTGTGGGTGGTGCCATCCCTGGCCTGGTGATCCTGGGTTCTATAAGACAGCAGACTGAGCAAGTCATAATGAGCAAGACAGTAAGCAGCACCCATTCCATTGTGTCTGTATCAGCTCCTGCTTTCAGGTTCCTGCCCTCTTTGAAGGTGGGTGGTTTTTTTTTTTCAAGACAGGGTTTCTCTGTGTAACAGTCCTGGCTGTCCTAGAACTCCCAAGGCCTCAAACTCACAGAGACCTGCCTGCCTCTGCCTCCTGAGTGCTGGGATTAACGGTGTGCACCATCACTGCCTGACCCTGTTTGAGTTCTTGTCCTGACTCCCTTCAATGATGAACAGTGATGTGGAAGTGTAAACTGAATAAACCCTTTCTTCTCCAGGTTACTTTGGTCATGGTGTTTCATTACAGCAATAGACAAGCTGGTACCGGGGTAGTAGAGTATTGCTGTGACAGATCTGACCATGTTGTTTTGGGGAGGACTGTGGAAGGACTTTGGGCTAGAAAAGCAATTGAGGGTTGAGAGCTCAGTGAGCTCTTGTGTAGGAGATGGGAGTGTTGAGAGCAGTGCAGATGATGGAGGCCTGGATTGTAGGTTTCAGAGGAAAGTGAAGACTCTGCTGGGCCTTTTGTGTGAAGAGTCTTCAGCTGGAGCTAAAGAATCAGCTGTGTTTAAAGCAGCATCATTGAGGTGAAGTTCTCTGGGAAGTGTTTCCAGGGAGTCAGCACACAGAAGCTGGGGTACAGACATGGCCAAGGTTGTACCTTGTGCTTGCAGCTGATCTGGTTTTGAAGGTGTAAGGGGCTCACGGATAACAGCTGAGTCTTGGCACTATGTGGTAGGGCTGGAGTCCCTGAAGAGAGAGCCCTGGAGAGGCTGACTGGTGAAAGTGCAGCCCAGTTGCAGCAAAGTACCTCAGCAGTTTTGGAGATGCCAGTGTTATGGGATGACCACCAAGAACAACAGTAGCAGTGGAGTGGAGCCAGCCTGAGCCTAGAAGACAAGCTGTGTGTACTGCAGAAGGCAGAGCCAGAGAAGTAACTCAATCCCCTTAAATCCCAGATAATTGGACATTGAGTTATTTACACTGTTGAAGTTTGGTTTTGCTTGGTTCAGATTGTGACTAGTTCTTCTCTTTTTAAGTGAGAACGTATTGCATTTATTTTTGATTTTACAGGAATCTACAGTTGAAGTAAGGAGGCCACTTGTTCGTTTCTCAGATGCCCAGACTTCCTGAAATAACCACAGAGAAACTGTATTAATTAAATTGCTGCTTGACCCATTAGCTCTAGCTTCTTATTGGCTAACTCTTACATATTAATTTAACCCATCTCCATTAATCTGTGTATTGCCACGTGGCAGTGGTTTACTGGCAAAGTTTCAGCATATCTGTCTCTGGTGGAAGCTCCATGGCTTCCCCTAAACTCTGCCTTCCTTGTCCCAGCATTCAGTTTAGCGCCCCCCCCCACGCCTAGCTCTGCTCTACCCTATCACAGGCCCAAAACAGCTTCTTTATTAACCAATGGTATTCACAACATACAGAGGGGAATCCCACATCACACAGTAGACAGACTTTGGATTTAAAAAAAAAAAAAAGACTGGCTGTTTTAAAGAGACTGAATTTTTAAAGACTCTGGGACTTTTAAATTTTGAGTTTTTTATATTGTAATGTTGGTAGTAATGTGTGATCTTGAGGCAAAACAAGAAAGAAAAGGCTGTGGCTTGGCAGTGATGTGTTTATGTGTCAAGGTACCAAGGGGTCAGTTGTGCTGTTTAGGTTTATGTCAGCCTGACACAGGCTAGAGTTATCTGAAAGAGGAAACCTCAACTGAGAAAATGCCTCTGTAAGATCTGGTTATAGGACACTGATGTGGGAGGGCCCAGCCCATTTTGGTTGGTGGCATCCCTGGGCTCGTGGTCCTGGGTTCTATAAGAAAGCAGTCTAAGCAGGCCATGATGAATAAGCCAGTAAGCAGTACTCCTCCATGGTCTCTGTATCAGCTCCTACCTCCGGGTTCCTGTCCTGCCTGAGTTCCTGTCCTGACTTCCTCAGTGATGGACAATGATATGTGAAAATATAAGCCAAATAAACTCTTTCCTCCCTAAGTTGCTTTGGTCATGGTGTTTCATCTCTGCACTAGTCACTCTAAGATACTTTTTAAATCTAGGTGGGAAAGACAGAAGAAGATGACTTCCAAGATTTTCAAGATGCTTCCAAATCAGGATCTCTTGATGATTCTTTTACTGACTTCCAAGAGGTGCCTGCTTCCTCAAAAACAAGTAATTCCCAGCACGGAAACAGGTAGAAATGAGTTGAATATATTTAACATTGCATTTTATCATTAGGGAAAGGGCATTCATGGCATAAGAAGCCTGTCCAAAGAGCAGTTACGTACTGTATTTCTCATGTTGTATCTTGATTGTAATGGCGTATGTTTCTCATGTTTCCCCCAGTAGCGCTTAGCCCATATATAACTGATAGACAGTTCTATTATTGCATGTGGACTATAAGCTGAGTCCATCAAGTGAGTGACTCACTCTCTTCAGGGAAGGTCTTTCAGTATATTAAGTCAAAATTTGTGGGTAAAAGTTTTTAAATGATAGCCAGACCTGAAGTGGGCTTTTGGCAGATTTTTATTTTTATTTTTGGGGTTTTCTTTATCAGTTGCTTGGTTGGATTGTTTGGTTTATCGTTGCTGTTTTTCTTGTTTTTTAAAGTGTGTGTATGTGTGTGTCTGTGTGACATGTGTGTATCTGTGTGAATGTATGTCACATGTATGCAGGTGCCCAAGGAGGCCAGAAGAAGGTGTTAGATCCCCTGATGCTGAATTACAGGCTGTTATGAAATGCCTGACGTTGGAGCTAGAAACTGAATCCGGGTCCCCTGGAAAACAGGAAGTGCTCTTAACAAATGAGTAATCTAGTTTGATTTTTTTTTGAGAAAGGATTTTTTTGCTATATATTCCTGGCTGGCCTGGAACTCATAACTCTCCTCCTGCCTCTACCTCCTTAAGTGTTAAGGACCGCCACACCCAGCCGCTGTGTGCATTGTTTGCTGCATCATCTTCCCGTCATTTCCCTCTGCACAGCTGTGCGTATGCTTTTTACAGCTTTTATTTCACTGCCTCCAAGTTTCCTTGAATGAAATGTTTCTCTCTTGTCTGAAAGTTTGCGCTTGTGCTCATGTGTTCATTCAGCCGCGTGTTTATGTAGCAGCTACTTTGTGCCAGATGCAGAGGTGAGACACAAGAATACAGGCCAAAGTTCACAGTTGCTGCTCCCTTGAAGCACAGTTTCACCCAAGTGCCTAGCCTTTAAAGCTCTCATGACTCGGCTGAATTGCATGTCTGCTGAATCCTCGGATTCAGACAGCTGTAATTGGAAAATATTCAGAAAAAGATCATGTACCTACTGAAAATGCATAAAGCTCAGTGTCTTTCTCTCTAGACAGTACTGCGCACTGACTATGTGCCTAGTCTTTACAGTGTTAGTACAGTAACTAACTCGGAAGACTGATTTCAGGTGTGCAGAGGATCTGTATGTGAATATGATAATCCGTGTTCCAAACTGTGAATGTATTTAAAAGCGACTGGCCCATCGGGTCATAATGTGAAGAACTAAGCCTAGAGACCCACCTTGGTCAGTGTGTGGAAGCAAAAAGTGGGCATTATTTGTCAGAAGAGATGACAAAACAGGGCTGAGAGGTGAACTAGGGCGGAAAGCATAAGGTCAGAGGAGGAAAGACAGACAAGGGGACAAACAACTCTGGCAAAGCTTTATTCAGAAAGGGGCCTGTGGGGGGAAGCTCTCTAGTCCAAGAAACCAGACAGCCTGCCCCTGCTTACAGCTGAGCAGCTATAGGGCGAAAGGGAGAGGTGTGCGGGGACTGAATTTCCCTTTGGGGGGGCCTGTTGTTAGGGATAGCTAAGGTGCTTGGTGTGTAAAAGAATGTTAAGCAATTCGTAGCCATCTCTGCAACTGCCATTACTGGAGGGTTGGCATTGTGGAGAGGGCAAGAATCGAGAAAAGTAAGTTCCTTTAGTTCTGGGAGCCACTGTACGTGAGTTCCTGCAGCTGCTGTGTCTAGCCAGAATAGAGAAGCTTTAGGTGGCAGCACGGCCAGGACTAGCAGAGAGCACTGTTAGTTGATGAGAACACAGCAGTTAGGGCAGCCCCTGTTGTGGGGAGCCTTGTGATCTATGGTCTGATCTGTACAGTATCTTCAGAATAATAAATTGCTTCAAGAAGGGCTTTTGCTGCCCTTTGGGGTCCCCCTTACTGCTGCAAGCCAAGAAAGCCACAGCACAGGAAACACTGTGTTCCTCACATAGTGGTTGAACTCAGTTCTGAGGTCAAGAAGAGAGAACATCCCCAGGCATGAAAGTACCAAAATACCGGGGTGGGTGGCCGGGGAGCCAACAGCACAAGTGGGGCTCTGGGACAGAAAGTTGTTAGAAAGTTGAAGCTCTAGGACCTTGGGTCTGGTTTGTTTGTTTTATTGTCCTGAGAACTAAGCCTTTTCTGTGGGTTGTTTGTTGAGACAGGTTCTCTTTATTACATAGCCTTGACTGTCCTAAAACTCACTAAATAGACCAGGCTAGCTTCAGACTCACAGAGATCTGCCGCCTTCTGCCTCTCAAGTGCTGGGATTAAAGATGTGAGTCACCACACTCTACTTTAAACATTTCATTACAAACTTTTATATTTAGCAGAGTGAGCAAAGCTATCTGTGTAAGAAATATCAAATAGGAGTCTTGTTATGGTTTAAATGAAATGCTACAGGTCCTCGAGAGATCCCAAGACCACACTGCAGCTCCCCAAAGTGGCAGCAGGCACCAAGCAGCAGGTCCCGAGAACAACCAGTCCCAGACAGGGATGGCACAGTTTCCCAAGTGGCTGCAGTGGGCCCCATGGGGCAGCGAGTCCCAGGCAGGGAGCTGCATGGTGAGTGAGAGACCCCATGAGGAGAGACAGACTGATGGGCACGCCACAAGACCACACCACAGGTTTCCAAAGGCGGCTGGTCCTAGGCAGGGAGTCACGCGGAGGGCAAGAGACAAAGACATGGATAGGCACACCATGGAGAGTGAAGTTGGATATTTATTTAGTGGGTTATGGAGGGGAAAGGGGAGAAGTTTGCCTGGCAGACAGGGGAGAGAGTGGGCGTGGCTTGCCTCTTAAGGGACAGGACAGACCATTACAAATCTTTTCTATCACATACTATAAAACTTGTGTTTGAGACAAGGAATTCAACTCTTTTTTTATCCCCATGTAAAACGTGGGTGCAAATGTTTTAATCCCCGTACCACCACCACCACCATTATCCAGTAAAACATTTGTCTTTGCAAAGGTCCACTGCTCTAGTCCTGGAGTCTGAACGCCTGGAGCAGTAACCCTTCTCCCCTTCCTTCATTTCCTCACTAGCACCAGTTCTTTACAGATTAGCCAATTAAATTAAGACTGTGAGGTCAGACCCCAGCCATTGAGGAAAAGATACAGTCACTACCCAAGTTAGAATAAAAACCAAACACACTTCCAGCCCGTGCGTGCTCTCCATACCCTCATGAGCACGAGCAAAGTCTCCCTTGCCCAGACACTTGGGCTGGAATGGTGGTCTCTTATTTCTAACATCTGTCATAGCCATATGGAAGTAGAATCTCTGGGCGGGGGAGACGAAACATGCTCTTTAATGACCAGGTTCTCAGTCTTGCCTTTCAGTGGGATGCAGATTCTTGTATTTTAAAACAATGTGGCCCTCTCACTTGAGTATTTCCCTTAAGAAACAGAAATGACTGTTTTCATGTATAAAACTGATAATAATTGCTATATATAACTTGCATAAACACTCTGATGGTGATTATAGCCTTCTTTTAAAAAGTAATAGCTCCAGAGAAGGGACTGGAACGAAACACTGATTTGTGGTGCACGTATAATTAGTGTGTGTCAGCTTTCTCGAAGGGAACTGAATTCTGTTGATTTTCATCAGTGCTGTTTCATTACCCTGCAGGGTCTCTTTTTGTCCAATCCTGTGAATATAATTTTAAAATTAATTACTTTCAATTAAATGTCACATTTAGTAGAAAGATTTTGCCACTGAGCTTTAAAAGACCATAGCTAGAATTGGAGGGTTACGAAAAGCAGGCAAGCCATCCAGCTTCCTGGGCTTTTTGTCCTTAAATACAGAGCAATTACCTGTATTCCTATGTAATATTCTGGTCATTGAGCTACAGTTTAATTATTTATGAAACCGTGAAAGCATCCACCTACATGTATAGGTGATAAGCCATTACATTTGTTAAAATCAGATAGCAGCAGCTGTGTGGCAGTGAAGTGAAATTTTAATATTCAATGCTTGTAAGTCTTGAGAACACGGTGGACCCCATTGCCATGAGTGCAGGACAGCCTGGTTTTTGCCTTGGTTGTGGGCCACTGATAAGAAGATTTAAATGCCTGTTAAAAGACTTTTGCTCCAGGGCAGAGACCTCAATAGAAATCCATTTCTGTATCTTGTGCTGTGGTATTGAATGATACTAGCTGGTGGTGAAATGCAGTCATTCATATGTAAAGGTTGTTCTTCCAGGGAACTGCTTGGGTCTGATAAGAGAAAAAAAAGCAATGCTCTATAGTGTGTTTAAGCTTTCTAAGAATTGCCCACGCAGATGCTACTCGTTGTGCTATTTTTCCATGAAAACAGTATGTCCACAGATAAAACTATCCTAATCTAATTTTGAAGTGATTGTTGTTTTGCTACAAAGATAGCTGTCTGGGACCACGGTTGTGATCCTGGTAAAAATATGCTTTCTCTTTCCTCTGTGGTTGCTTATCAGATGTCTGCACTGCTGCATAATGATCAAAGCAGAATTTACACCTCTGCTTGAACAATATTTTGCACAGAACTTTTACAACCTGAACCCATTTTAGAGAAGTCTTAGGTTGTAATTTATCTTTAAGTAGTAAACATACATATTTGGTGAAATTCGCTGTTAAATTATTGTGAAGTGTAAGTTGAAATGGCAGGAGGTTGTCATTTTTTTATTTTTTATTAAAAATTTCCTCCTCCTCCTCCCACTTCCCTCCCCCCCCCCAGGTGGTATTCTTTAATCTGTTTTCAGTGCTTTTATGGTTTAAACGGACGATGAGACCATTGGTGTAGATGTCACCCTCCTCAGTCAAAAAAAAAAAATAGTACTTGAGTGTTAATGTTTATTTTCAAGAAAGGGGCATTGTTTTTAGTCATTTGTGGAGTTTATATATAGTTTCTAACCTTAGGAACTATAGGGCTGGGGGCACAGCCCAGTTGGCAGCCTACATGCACAAGCCCTGGGCTCAATACTCCATCACACTACTATAGTCATTTTTTAAAAAGAAAGTGAGTCAGTCAGTGGTGGTACATGGCTTAATCCCAGACTTAGAAGGCAGAAGCAGGTGAATCACCTAGTTTGAAGTCAACCTAGTCTACAGAGTGAGTCCCAAGACAGCCAGGGCTGTACACAGAGAAACCCTGTCTCAAAAAGAGAGAGAGAAAGAGAAAGAGAGAGAGAGAGAGAGAGAGAGAGAGAGAGAGAGAGAGAATTGGCAGAGAACTATCAGCTCTAACTGTGTCCTTAGCGCCATGTGGTGCTGAGAGAGGATTCCTCTGTCTGATGGATAACATACATCTCCTCCTTCCTCACAGTGCCCCATCTCTGCTGATACCACTTCCCGGAACTAAATCCTCCACAGATAAATACTCGGTGTTTAAAGGGATTTCTGCTGACAGGCCCTCTGAAAACCCGGCTTCATTTGGAGGTAAAAAGTTTGTCAGTTGATAAATTTGTGGCTGTAACTTTTAATTAAGTTGTATAAATCTTTTAAGTGGCAGGTTTTTTTATTGAATGTATCAGGTGCTGTTCCATGTGTTAAATATGTTTGCTCAGCTCAGTCTGCCATGCTTCTCCGGCTGTGATCTCTGGGTTCCTCACTGTAATGAGTTTCTGTCTCTGTTGTAGAGTCTGGTGACAAATACAGTGCGTTCAGGGAACTTGAACAAACGGCAGAGAGCAAGCCTCTTGGTGAGTTTGGATTCCATTTCTTCTTTTCCTTTTGCTGCATTGTGGGGAAAACCCCGTGCCTTGTGCGTGCTAGACAAGTACTTTACCACTGAGTACATCCTCTAATCCTTTAAGAATTTTTGGTGTTTTTGTTTTTAGTGGCATCTACAATCATTCATTTATTTTATTGCATATGTAGTTTAAAAGAAAAAAAAACAAGAAAAGAATTTTTAAAGAATGGCAAACCAGATGTTCTAACACACACCTGTAATTGTAGCACTTGTGGAATATAAACAGGGGGATCACAAATTTGGGACAAATCTGGGCTACATAGCTAGTTCCAGGCCAGCCTGGGCTACCTAGTGAGAGCCTATCAGTCACTTGGTAGGCCCAACTGTCTGGGAACTTATCAAGAGTCACTTGTGTCTGCTCTTTAAGTGCTGGGATTGAAGATGTGTACCAACATGCCCAGTTTAAAAGATAACTGGCATATTATTTTATGACATAGTAATAATTGTTGTGATACATACTCAGACTGCAGGGCTTTAATTCAGAAGCCCTTAATGGTTGTTGCAATGCTTAGCCAGTATTGTCATGGGCTAAGTACAGCACTATCTTATGGGAAGGGCTAATTTTGGGGAGCCTTGAAATTATAGTAAAGCAGTGTGGCTCAGGTTTCTGGGCAGTACTTTTAAAATTTCAGGTAAATGTCATATCAATACAAACAGTACGTTGCCTTTCACTGGCATCTGCCAGGCAACTTAGATCCTGTGTCAAAGATAGCTGTGATCGCTCTATCCTAACATGCCCAGGGCTGCTGACAGCGCCCGTGTGGACTGTACGGAAAGTAGCCACCAGTCTTAATCAGTTCCTGGTGTGGTACTTGGCATTATTATTGTTTTCTTGACTTCTCATCCATCATCTGAAAAGAACAGCATTGTAGAATAACATTATTCAAAATAGCTCTGGGGCTGGGGAGATGACTCTGGATAAGGACACTTGCTGCCAACCCTGACACCCTGAGTTCTGTCCCCGGAATCCACATGGTGAAAGGAGAGAACAGCTTCTGGAAGTCATTGGTGAACTTGACACATATGCATGTTGTAGCATGTTTGTACTTATGCGCCCTTGTGTATGTATGAATGGATGCGATCACACAAAAAATACATCAGTAAACCTAATTTTTTTAAGATGATATCTTTATTGAGGTGTAATTCACATCAGCAAAATTCGTTCTTTTTAAATTTAGGATTGAGGGAGATTGGTATGTTGACAGAGATGTGCCAGATCTTACTTTGGAACACTTTCTTCATTCTCAAAGAGAAATTCTATAATCTTTCATTGTTCAAGTCTACCTAACGTCAATCATCGACTTTTTGTTCCTATGGACTCCCCCTTTTTTTTCTTTCTTTCTTTTTTTTTTTTTTTTTTTTTTTGGTTTTTTGAAACAGGGTTTCTCTGTAGCTTTGGAGCCTGTTCTGGAACTAGCTCTTGTACACCAGGCTGGCCCCAAACTCACAGAGATTTGCCTGCCTCTGCCTCCCAAGTGCTGGGGTTAAAGGCATGCGTCGCCACCACCCGACCTAATTTTTTTTAATTTTATTCATTTATTTTTTTTTTATTTTTCCTTTCAAAAATTTACACTTCCTCCCCTCCTCCCAATTCCCTTCTGCTCCCTTACTCACCCTCCTCCCTCCCCCTCCCTGCTTGAGAGAGGGCAAGGAACCCTGCCCTGTGGGAAGTCCAAGGCCCTCCTCCCTACATCTAGGCCCAGGAAGCTGTGCATCCATGTAGACTAGGGTCCCCAAAAGCCAAAACATGCCATAAAAACAAGTGACTTGTTTTTAATTTTTTTAATTAAAAAAAAAAAAGCTGCTTTGATGAGCCAGGCAGTAGAGCCTGTAAGCTTCAGCACGGCCCTCCAGAGCAGGGGCAGCAAGAGCTCGTGTCCATCCTAGGTGCTTAGCAAGTTCAAAACCAGCATGAAAAACAGCCGCAAACATCTGTGACAAAGCAGAATGTATCATAAGACAGGAATCAGCATTGCACAGTCACAGAGGTGGGGTGTGGCGCCGGCTGGAGAGCCACCAGCTACAGCTTACTTTGAAGTGAGAAATTGATCTGATTGTTCCATCATGTGAGAGCTGATCTGATTTGTCTGATTTTCCCAAAGAGAGACTAAGTGTGGCACAGCCGGCTAATAAAGAAATATACCTTAAGCTGAGAGGTGCTAGCACACACCTTTAATCCCAGTACTTGGGAGGCGGATCTCTGTGATCCTTAGCAAGCCTGGCCTACAAGAGCTAGTTCCAGAACAGCTAGTACTGTTACATAGAGAAACCCTGTCTTGAAAAAAAAGAAAAAAGAAAGAGAGAGAGAGAAATACACCTTTTCAGATTTCTCCTCATTAGTGACACAGTCCTATCTACTTAATACTCTTCATTAAGAAAAAGGAAGTATTGTACTTTTACAAAATGACAAACTAGAGACAAGCAAGACTCGACCTAATTAGCTTTTTACCAAATTGACCTTTGTAGATGGAGTTTCTGTCCCACTTGGTCCCACAGCCCAAATCCATAGCCATTCAGTCCCAAATAAACACACAGAGGCTTATATTAGTTATAAACTGTTTGGCCTATTGCTCAGGCTTATTACTAACTAGCTCTTACAACTTAAATTAACCTGTAATTTTTATCTATGTTTAGCCATGTGGATTTCTATCTTTTCTCAGTAAGGCATCCTCATCTTGTTTACCCTACATCTGGCTTGTGACTGACTCTCTGCCTTTCCTCTTCCCAGAATTCTCCTAGTCTAGTTGCCCTGCCTATACTTCCTGCTTGGCTCCTGGTCAGTCAGTGTTTTATTAAACCAATAACAGTGACAAATCATTACAGTGTACAAGAGCATTATTCCACAGCATACCTTGTTGGCACAGGGAGTACAATATGGCACAAAGTGGATACCAAGTGGCCTTCCAAAGTTTCAGGGCTGAGATATAGTTCAGTGTAGAGTGACTATTTAGCATGCATGGGCAGGTTCCTGGTTTCCATCCTCAACACTGCTAAATTGATCAGTTAATTGAATGAATGAATGAATGAATGAGTCAGTCAGTCAGTATTACATATCCAAGTCAGCTTACATATCCAAGAAGGAGAGGTCAGTTACTGTGCTGTGCTGTACTTGATTCAAGTCACCATTGTTCAGGATTTTCAAAATTGACTGTGATTTTAAAAATGAAGAGGTGTGTGTGTGTGTGTGTGTGTGTGTGTGTGTGTGTGTGTGTGTGTGTGTGTTGAGAGAGAGAGACAGAGAGAGACAGAGAGAGCAAAAGAGAGAAATTAGTGTGTGTAATTAAGCATGACATGTAGTTTGAGTAATCCTTAGATTGTATCCTAACCTTAATTCTGCATATTGTGAAATGTATCAGCTCTAATGATGATTTCCTCCTGAAATCACATTCTGCCTTTCTGTACTCAGTGCTCAAAGCTGGCTTCTCCACTTTTGCTTGGGGTGGGATAGAGTCTCTAAGTGTAAGGGAGATGTAGTAGATATTCCTCTGCACCAGCATCTCTACACAGGAAGGGCCACCTCTTAGAACAGATCTTAGCTTCTAGCAATATTTCCTTGTGTTTCATCCAAACAGCTTTAAGATATGAAAGCTATTTCTTTCCCCATACTTGTGTTAGGCACTAGGTGTTCAAATGTGAACCTTAGAGGAATCCTGACTTCATTCTGTCTCAGGCAAGTTTCAAGTAGAGCCTGGTTTAATGTCAGGATTCTTTGTGTGATTTGGTGTTAATGATCATGATATAAATGTTACTTTAAATTTTTTTATTTTATGTATGTAACTGTTTTTGCCTGCATGTATGTCTATGTACCACATGGGAGCCTAGTGCCCACAGAGTCCAGAAGAGGGCATTGGACCTCCAAAGACTAGAGTTATAGACAGTTATGAGCGGCCATGTGAATACTGGGAACTGAACCCAGATCCTCTGAAAGAACAGTCAGTGCATTTAACTACTGGGCCATTCTGCGTTATTCTTAATAGAGACAATAGGAAAAGGTAGTGGTGCCCAAAATGTAAGTGGTGCCTTAGTCCTGTTTTCTCAGCCTGAACTGAGGCCCAGTTATTGTCATTTTGATTTGCTTGTTTTCGTTTCTCTGTGCTTCAACTCAATTTAAAGCCTTCGAGTTATTAACTGTGATTAGTCATGTTGAATATTTTATTCTCCTAAACTTCTTTAAAACTTTCCTTGGTCTGGGCCATTTGTGCTACAGACCTTTCATCCCAGCACTTGGAAAGTAGAGACAAGAGGATGAGGAGCACAAGGTCATACTTGGCCACATAGCAAATTTGAGCCAAAAAATAGGAAGAATGGGATGTTTAATGTCAAACCTTGGAGCCTCTGCAGGACCACAGTTCAGAGCGGAGCTTCTCGTGGTACTGAGCCACAGTTTAATAAGTACCAACAGGCTAAGCCAGAAGTTTCACATAAGTTGTAAAAAATGTTTTAAATTAAAAAAGGACACTTCTTTGTAGAACTTTAGCCAAATACTCATTTAAATTTTCTCAGGGCATAAAAAGTCACAAAAATCAAAGGAGGAGCTGCAAGAATCTAAGGGGAACTGAAGAGCTGCCAGTGGACCAGCAGGCTCACTCCCAGCCGCAGGTTCACTCCCAGCCGCAGGTATACTCCCAGCCGCAGGTTCACTCCCAGCCAGCCTATTTGTTGAAATATGCTTGGTTTTGAAGTTATGAACCCCGTTTTCATTTCCTTCTAACCCTTTACCCAGTTTACATTCCTGATGGAAAAATTTACAATTCATCATCAGTAAGTTTAGTTTCTATGTGATTGTGTGTAGAAATCAAAACCTGTCAATTTCACAGATATTTCAAAGCAGTAATCAAAAGTTTATTTGGGATATGATCCGGACATAGTAACTCATGCCTTTAATTATAGCGTTCATGAGGTTGAGGCAGAAGAATTCCCATGAAATAAAGGTCAGCCTGGGCTACCATGTGAGACCTTGCCTCAAAAAACCAAAATGACAAAAAAAATTACTACTAATTACCTTTTCATGTATAGAAATAACACAGATGTCATCAATGTGTCTGTAAAATCCTAGGGTAATTTTCACATTTGTATTTCCTGTCAATTTGTGAAATTGATGTTTTTATATTATCTCTCTCTCTCTCTCTCTCTCTCTCTCTCTCTCTGTTTTCCAAGACAGGGTTTCTCAGCTATGGGGTCTGTCCTGGAAATAGCTCGGTGACCAGGCTGGCCTTGAACTCAAGAAGATCCACCTGCCTCTGCCCATGTTATGACTTTTAAATGTTATATTTTGAAAACAAAATTATAGGAAACTTGAAGGCTACTCCTTTTTCTCAGATTACTGTAGTACTGTAGATGCATTTGTATTGATGACTTTTACTAGTAAATCAGATCAGTATCAGATTAAGAAGAAAAAGCTCATTGTTTCCAGTGCTATTTTCAATTTGGAAAGTCAAAGTGCAGATCATGCATCAGGCATGATAGGTATAAAGCCTGCTGTCCATGGTGTCAATATTAGAAACTGATTTTATGGTTTTGGTTTTAAGTACATTTTATGGCTCATACGTATCTGTGTTTCATTGTTTAGAAAAAAATATTTTTTAATAAAAATGGATGAGAAGCTGGACATGGTAGTGCATGCCTATAATATCAGCACTCAGGAGGTAGAGACCGGAGACTGCCACAAATCCAAGGCCAGTTTATTCTACCTAGTGAATTCTAGGCCAGCCAGAGCTACCTACTGTCTTAAAAAGAAAAAGAAAAAAAAAAAAAAACAGCGGTTGTGGAGAGGTAAAGAAATTTAGCGTTATTTTTAACTCTCTAGAAGTGACAGTCATTATTTTTTAAATAATCAGTGATGTTGGTTGGTATAGCAATATTTATGTTTGGTATAGATCTGGATTCCATTAAATGGCATGTCCTAGTGGGTGTCATTGTAGAGCTCCAGATGCTGGAAGGAAAGTGAGGCCATCTGCATCCTGTCCTTGTAATTGTGAGAGATAAGATTAGATACTAATGAAGACAAGTCTTAGTAAGAGTCCTGGCTTGCATGGTCTGCCGAGCAAGTCCCAGGGTAGCCAGGGCAATGCAGAGAAACCCTGTCTCAAAGCAACAATGCCAGCAATAACAAAAAACCCAAACAAACAAAAAGAGAATCATGACCCCAGATTTAAATCAGTTCTCAGGGCTGAAAAAAGTGACTCAGAGGATAAAAAATGTTTGCCTCAGAAGCCCACTGTCCTGAGTTCAGTCCTCAGATTCCATAGGAAGGAGAAGAGCGAGTCAGTGCCCAGAGCTGCCCTCTGACTTCCATGTGTGCACACCACACTCACACATAGATAGCAACAGTAACCAAAGGTTTTTACATTTTTTATAGGGCTCTTATCTATGGCACTTAATAACTAGTTCTTTTTTCAAAGATTTTTACCAAAATATCTTCAAATTAATATGTCTGTGTACTTGAACAAGATCTCATTATATCCTATCTAATAATTTGTGTTCCTGTGTGTATGCATGTGTGTATGTGTGCATGTGTGCTTAGCATTGAAACTAGGTCATGGTTGTTTCATGCATGAGCTTTACCACTGAGCACTGAGCTACAATGCTAGCCTTTAATAATTGGGTTTTTTTGTTTTTCATGGTGGTTAGTTCATTGGTTGTTTGGTTAGTTGGTTGGTATATTTGAAACCTGGTCTTGTTAGGTAGCCCAAGTTGGCCTCAACTTGTGATCCTTCTGCCTCAGTTTCCCAAGTTCTGGAAAGGTGTGTGCCACAATATCCTGCTCTAAATCTTTTGGAAGTCTTGTTGTTCTGAACATCAGAGGCAGAAGACTTCTTCTCAATACTTCGTTGATGCTTTGATTCTGTTTAAAACTGTGTGACATGTTTCATCTTTAAAGGGTTGCTCATTGTGCCTCTATGGAGCCTCCAGCTTCTCTTTCAGTCTGGCCAGAGGAGGAGAGTCTTGAGGGCAGTGCTTGCCTATTTCCATATCACACTGGCTGGAATGAAGAAACAAGTTGTCTGATGAAGAGTGTGGACTATGGTTACTGTCAAGCCAGGGGAGAAACCTAGAAAACCTTAGCAGTTCAGTCTGCATTGTTCTGTGTGGGCTTAACTCTGTGGCTTTCCTTCACTGCCTGCTCTTTCTTTCAGGAGAGAACTTTGCCGAGTTCAGATCCACAGGAACCGATGACGGCTTCACCGACTTCAAGACCGCCGATAGTGTGTCACCCCTAGAGCCACCGACAAAGGACACTTTTCCAGCAGCCTTTCCCTCCGGAGCTGCACAACAGAAACAGACACCAGTGAAAACCCCTCTGAATTTAGCAGACCTAGATATGTTCTCCTCAGTCAATTGCAGTGGCGAGAAACTGGTGCCCTTTTCAACTGCGTTTAGCACATCAAAGTCAGTTTCCACGAGACCTCCGCCGGCCAGCTCTGCAGCAGCCCCAGCAGCACTGGCATCCACGAAAACTTCTAGTTTGGTAGATGATTTTGGAGAGTTCAACCTCTTCGGGGAATACTTGAATCCTGCATCTGTTGGGGAGCAGGACGACTTTGCAGATTTCATGGCTTTCGGTAACAGCTCTATTTCATCTGAGGCCAAAGCAGACGACAAATACGACGTCCTCAGAGAGGAAGTGAATCCCAGCCCCTTGGCCAGCAGCACAGTGGAGAGTGCACAGAATCCACCTGCTGCATCTTCCAAATACGATGTCTTCAAACAGCTTTCCCTAGAGGGAGCTGGACTGGCCATCGAGGAGTTCAAAGAGAACACTCCTTCTGCCAAGAGTGACGATGACTTTGCTGACTTCCACTCCAGTAAGTTTTCATCCACAAGCTCAGACAAGTCCCTGGGAGAGAAAGCGGTGGCTTTCAGACACGCCAAAGAAGACTCTGCCTCGGTGAAATCCTTAGATCTGCCCTCCATCGGTGGCAGCAGCGTTGGCAAGGAGGACTCGGAAGACGCTCTTTCTGTTCAGTTTGACATGAAATTGGCTGATGTGGGAGGAGATCTTAAGCATGTCATGTCTGATAGCTCGTTGGATTTGCCAACAGTTAGTGGCCAACATCCTCCTGCCGCAGGTGAGGAATTGGTGAGATTGCTCTGGTGATGGTGATGCAGATTTCAAAGATGATTCTGTGGGTACTGTCTGACTGACAGATTGAGGCACTGGCTCGTTACCTTGGCGGATATCTAGTAATTAATTAGCCTCCTGTTGTCTGTCTGCTTGAAGCAGTGTTCAACATGATGTTATGAAAACATTAATCTATGGGTACTCTGACTGCTCCAGAACTTAGATTGGAGAGCCGAAATATTTTTATTTTTGAAACCTAATACTCACTTGGTGTCAGAGGCCCATACAAACCTACTGCTCAGTGAAGCCCACATAGCCAGGAATTTTATAAAAACTTTTGCGGTGTCCACAGTGTTTCGTCATCCCTGTGAGTGGGATCAGTGCTCCCGCTCCCCTTTTGTCTTCTCTTGACTATATTTAGAGTTGCTAAGACAGTATTTGTTTGGTTTACAGAAACTGACTCTTCTTAGGCCAAGAAAGTAAAAAGCTCTTCCCACTTGGAATGCAGTTTGTCAGCTTCCTTGAGACGAGGTAAAGAGGTCACTTAGGGATGCTTGGTGTGTCAGGACCTGGCAGGAGCAGGCCTGTTTTCAGTGTTACTGTTTTGCAGCGTTACTGCGAGTAATAATTTGTAATAACCCTGTAGATGCTAGGGTAGGGTAACTACTAACTTCTCATAATGGAGCCCTCTTTAAACCCTGTGTGGATTTACATGTAGCAGTTTATTCTCTGGTCCAGCTTCCTGTCACAAGAACTAGATTCCCAAGTGTCCTAGTTTTTATTTCATTTTGTTTTTTAATATGTATATAGAAAGATAAACCTATTTTGTGGCCTTTAATAATGAGAACTATCTCAGCATTACTGTATTATTCTAGAAAAGGTAGTGTGCACATGCAGGGTTTGTTTCTTTACCTGGGAGGGACAGGTAAGACGCTTCCAAGTTTACAGACTCAGCAGACATTGTGAAGTGCTGTAGAGTCCACAGATTTCAAACTGGCAAATGGTATCTGTCCTTTGCTACTGAAATGGGTTTCTTATGCTGGGTTTTGAATGGAAAGCAAAGTTAGCAAAGATCAGCGTGTTTCGCCTGCTGCCAGCCAAGGGGCTTCCTAGGTGCAGCTGGCTATCTGAGCTCCTTCTGCCCTTTGCTATTATTTCCTCATTTTTATCCTATTTTTTCTTTTTTTCCTTTGCTGCTGTTTGTTTGATGGATGATTTTATTCTTTTTTGTATGAGCTGCGTGAGCCACAACACTTGGTTGCAAGGGGCATTGGTTTTTAAACAACAGCATTTGATTTTTATTTAAAAAACAATTTCACAACATGTATACTAGCCTTTTGGACTTTGAAGTTATTAATTAGAGACTATTTTTCTGAAAATGAATCTATATTCTTTCACAGTGCCAAACTACAAATCTGTGAAATGAGTTAATCCAGGTTTGGGATATCTTTTTCCCGCCTTTTATTCGGGAAGGAGAGGTTGGCTTTTGACTGAGCTCATTCCAATGGACCTGTTAAATAATCTGTGCCCGTGCTCTCTCTGTATGTTTGGAACGCTCTCAGAATGGAACCTTCCATGTTCAAGCCCACTCTCTTCAGAGGGAGAAGATCTGAAAAGCAGATTGTCTCCTTCTGTTGATCTGTAAACCTCTGGTGGGAACGGAGTAGTAACCCTTCAGAGCGGTTGTTAGAGGGTTGATGGCTGACCAGGGAGTCATGCCTGTATGTCGTTGAGCAAGACTGCTGCATAAATAAATATATTAGAGAGGGAAAGCGGTAGGCATTGCTTCAATGCACTGTGACTTTATTTTACCCTTCCGCTCACCATGGAGTGATGAACTTGCTCTCTTAGTCTGGGGGTTGAAAGGACATTTCTAGAGAAAGAAGAAGTGGGCTGATGGAGCAAAAAGAACTTATATGGTTACTGTCTATGGACGTGGTCTTGTTTGGAAACCCTAACTTAACTCTGAAGGGGATACTGTCTCTAACCCATGCTGTTAACTCTTTGTATGGACGGTAGATATACTAATAACATTGCCTGGTTTCTCTCTGCACATCATTGCATTTACCTTTTAGCCCTTGCTGTGTATAATTTCAATGAGGCTGCTCTCCCACCCCCTTAAATATACTCTCTCTGGCACAGCAGCATCTTGATGTTCAGTCTTTGAGATCCTTTGTTTCTATGGCAGCAAGAGCTTACTTTGATTTGTGACTTTCTCAACGGGTCAGCAAGACCTTTGTGGCTACCTACCTGTGAAGTAGCTCTTTTTGACATGGAAAATCTTTGTATTTTAATCAGCGCCTTATTATTTTTTTGGCTGCTTTTCTGATGTCTTTTTTCAACACAGACACTTGTGTGTGGATGTGCCCTTTGGAACTTGCTTTATTCTCTTTCTCTGCGAACACTGGCCTGCATGCTACTCTGATGGCTCCTCCCAGCTCTTCTGTACCATTCTCTTTTGCGACCTGTAAGTCCTGTGTTAATAAACGATTCTTTGGCATATTTTGAAAGTGTGGGGATGTGTGTAATTTGTGTTTTTGAGAATTAGACCAAAGAAATAATCCGGATGGTATAAAATTGAAGTCATGTCCCTTAAAACTGGGTTTTCTTTTTTCCTTCTAAGAAAGCAGAGGTACGGTTGCCTTTGCCCCTTGTATATCCATTGACAAAAGTCAGTAATGTGGCATTGGACTGATGTGTAGCTGTAGGCTCTTGAGCTCAGTTGGCAGCATGCTTACCAGCATCTGCAAAGTACTTATTTAATCCTCAGCACAAGTAAATCAATATATGTAGAAATATATCAAGCACACTCCTCAATGATGCAAAAATAAAACTCAGCCAGATGTGAGACACACACCAGTGATCTTCACACTTGTGAGGCTGAGACAGAATTGTGAGTTCAAGGCCAGCCTGAGTATACTACTGTGTCTCACTAGACAAAGTAAAATATATACATATCTATATAAAAGTAGAAATAACCTGGACACTCTGACCTGGACACCCACACATGGCACACTTGTTCTCACACGTAGAGACTCTATACACACAACAGTAATAAACGTTAAAAGCTAAGACAACCCTCAAAACAAAAGAACTAAGCTTTAAACTATTTTCATCTTTAAGAAAACAGTTTCTGGGCTGACTCAGTGGTAGAGTATTTGCAAGGCACTAAACTTGATCCCAGCATTGCAATAAACCAATCAATAAATTAATAAAAATCACAAAGACCACTGAAGGTTAGCAATGAGTAGCTAGCCATGAAAACTATTTGCTCTATTTTAGGATAGGGTAAGAGTGAGGAACTTTGGCAATAGTCTTTTCAAGTCCCAAGCCCAAGCTACATAAAGATTTCGGGGAAAGAATCATTTCAATGTTTTTACTTTTTATTCATGATTTGAAGGTTTTAAGTTTTTATTTTTAGAATTTATGGAAATAAAGGATACTGAACTCCTGAAAATGGGAATTTTGAGTAGAATTCCAGAAATCACTTTCATGTGCCATCCAAGAAAGAAAATAGCTGGGTGTTGGGGCTGAAATTCACCCAGAGAAAAGCCAGGCCTTCCACTCAAGCTGTATAATGTGCTGAAAGTTGAGAAGTCGCTGTTAAAACAAGGTGCTCTGCATTTTAACCATGCGTACTGCTAAGAAACTTGGGAGAAAAGCCCCCAGCTAGTGATTCCAGAAGCTGCACTGTGAGAACGACCTCATGAGGCGGTGGCTTCCTCTCTCAGCAGATTCTCTAAAACCAGGGCAGGCTACTGGGTTTGCTTTAACTCCCTTGAGAGCAGAAGTGACCATCTCCGTGTGTAACTGCCGTTCACGAACAACTCAGTGTGTCTAGATAGCATATGATTTTAAGGGAGGTAGTTTTTTTGTTGTTGTTATTGGTTTTTTGAGACAGGGTTTCTCTATGCAACAGCCCTAGCTGTCCTGGAGCTAGCTTTGTAGACCAGGCTGGCCTGGAACTCACAGAGATTTGTCTGCCTCTGCCTCCCGAGTGCTGGGATTAAAGACGTGTGCCACCACTGCCTGGTGAGGTAGTTTTAATAGTACAACACAGCATCCCCTTTTCGTGGTAAAGATCTGCATTCTGTGCTGTAGGTTCAAACAAATAACCCTGTGGTGTTTGTCCTGATGCCAGGTAAGAAATGGTTGGCTAATGCTTGTCTCTGTCAGTGCATGAGACTTCCCACAAACATGCTGGTGTTCTGCCGGCACTGTGTTGTCCTGTTAGAATCTGTGCTGATTACCAGAGGGTAAGGTGAGAACAGAGAACACTGGCCATGTCATACAAGCTGTGCTAGCTTCTAAAATAGTTGAAGGAATTGATTGTTATTATCTGTTGTTGTTTGAAACAGGATTCCTTTATGTGGCCCTGGCTGTCCTGGAACTAGCTCTTGTAGTCCAGGCTGGCCTTGAACTCACAAAGATACTCCTGCTTCTACCTCCTGTGTTCTGGGATTAAGGTGTGTGCCACCACCACCTGGTGATGGTTTTTATTTATACTTCTTTTGTTTTAGTTGACTCAAGGTCTCACTAGTGATGCTGCCTAGGCTAATCTTAAAATCCTGAGTTCAAGTTATCCCCCTGCCTCAGATTTCAGAGTAGCTAGGGTTCCAGGTACATGTCATCATGCCCATCTATTTTTATTTATGTATATTTATTTATTTATTGCATGCTAAACAAGTGCTCTACCACCAACCTGCACTCTCAGCCAAAATCACTTTATTGTCTTTCTTATGAGTGGCTATCATCTGAGGACTTTTGATAAGTTGTTTGGGAAATGTAAGCTAAGTGATTCTGAGAACATAAGAGGGTATATACCCTGGAGGCTCTGCCCCCTAAGTCTGTTCTCTCTCTTTTGATAGCCAGAAGGCCTTCATTTTAATTACCATCTTTTGTGCTCATTTGGTATCATTTTGATGGGATTTCTAATATTTTTACTATTTTTAATTATATATGTGTGGGAGTGTGCATTTAAGTGCAGGTGCTGTGGCAGCCAGAAATATTGGGCCTCCTAGAACTGGAGTTACAGGTGGCTGTGAGGTGCCTGGCATGGCTGTTGGTAGATTGGTACATGCTCTTAAACTCTGAGCCCTGTCTCCAGCCTGGGTTTCCCTGACTCACCTTGTACAATCTTACTGTCTCTTGCCTTCTAGCCTCCTGTGAGTCTAGTATTCTCATGCTTGCTGCTTTTCTTTATTGACCATAAAGCATTGACATAGAAACCTGAAGATGTTTACAGTGTAGACACAATTTAAACCATAGCGTCACAGGAGCTGGTGCAAACATGCAGATTGGGAAATGTCTACACAGATTAGAAAGCACAGGAAGGCAATCAAACAGCAGTGTTTCATAGCCTGTTGCTCAGTGAGGTCACTTTTCCTATTCTCTACAACAATGCCATCAGGATGCTTGAGACTTAACAGACCAGGCTTTACAGTTAGTAGAGAATATTCTCTAAAGGAGAATTGGGCCCCAAACAAGACATGGAGATATACAACTATTTTGTGGATTGTGTTGGTGAATGAAGGCTGGGTTAACTCAGCATTAGATATTAGAAGTTGTTCCCTCTTTGGGCCAGCAAACATTGCTACTGCAATGCAGAACACTCAAGAATTGTGGAATTGTGCTTATAATTCCCTTTTGCTTTTTCTTCCTCTAAACTCCTTCTTAAAAGCCAGTAACTCTTAATCTCTTGGGCATATACCCACAGCTTTAGAAGGTGTGGGTTTCACCTTCTGTGTCTTATGGTGGTGGCTTACATTCCTGGGGATACCTTGTTTTCATGTACAACATGCATTCAGAGTGGATCTGAATAGAGGTTATGGAAGAGCCTGGTAGGGTTAGCTGCCTGTAGGAGAGAAAGCCATGTCTTGATTTGATCCACGATGGGAAGCGGGTCGTACTGTTTATTCTCTTGTCCTTTGTCATAGTGAATTCCCGTTGCAAACAATCCGTGTGTGAAAGCACACAATTTGGCTTACTACCCGTGCCCAGCTGAGGCTCTCTCTAGCCCCGCCCAGGGGCTGGAAGGAGATACAGAGATGACTCTTCTTTTATTATGGTCATTCCCCATCTTCTTTTTTCTTGTAATTTTCAAAATTCAGCTACTAAGTTGCAAAGCCATCTCTAGTCACTTTGGTGCTTATAACATCCGGTATCATTTTTCCCAGGCAGGGCTCCTGTCTATCAAGCTGGAGGCCTTGTTCTTTATTGTTTTTAAGATCTTTATACAATAATACAAAGAACTGGGTTGCTAAGCAAATAGAGAGTTGTTAACATGGAAAAATGGAGAGTTTCTTTGTTTGTTCTTTACCTCCAATCAACTTATGTGCCAGATTTTTCTCAGAAAATGGTTTACCAGTGTTCACTATACCAAAAAAAAGCACGCTTGGCATTTATACTGTGTATAACTGCCGGGCTCAGGGGTAAGCATTATGTCACCGTTTGGGTTTTGGTTTTTATGTAATACCAGTTTGGTGCTTATGGGTTCAAATTAATTACTCTTTAGTAATTTGCTTTTTCACCTACATTCAGTTTCAAAGTTTGCATTTAGTGACTCATAACATGTTTACTCTCTGGTTAAAATGTATATCTCAAACATTTCCTTTTATGTCTTTCATTTGGTTCTTCATTTAGTCATTTGGTCACTTCAGTAAGTAGCTCCAGAAGGTGAAATGTTCCATGATTTCACTGAAGACCTTCCTAGGTATAAAGTCTTAAGAGCTCTTCTGCTAAGGTAATCCTTATTGCATACAATGCCCTTTACCTTGCTTACAATGCGAGTCATTCTTGATTTTAAAAAAAAAAAGGCTTGTCTTCTTGTGGCATAATTGCACAAAAAGGTCTTTTTATCACCATAGCAACTCGGTTGCAGTGTTTGAACTAGAGCGGTCATTCCATAAATTTATCTTTGGCCTTCCAAAAAACCCAAAAAACGAAAAACCCAAATCCCTACTTTTTAATAAATAAGACGCTAGAAGCAGTTTCTGATATGGTTTCCCCAAAGAGCCTTCCAGAAAAGTCTAATAATAAACATACCTGTGTGGTGAAGCATTCTGCTGAATGTTCCCCTGACAGACTAGCCTGGTTTCAAGCACATCTGCCTCCTGATTGAATGGCTCGTCTTTTGAGCCTGCGCACCTGGGTCTAGGCAGACCCTCTACCTAGAGGGGAAATACTACAGATAGAGACTAAGAAAGTGCTTCGTCTAACAGCTTGCTTCACTCTTTCTAAACTATAAATTTGCCACCTAAATTGTTTTTCCTTCTTATTAAGCAGGCCACATATGAGGGGTGTGGTTTGCGCTGCAGAATTTGAAAGTGTTCCATCTTTTAGCAAAGGAGATTTGCTTTGCCGGTTGACTAGCATTGTTATCGTTCATTAAATGCTCTTATCGGAGCATAGGGAGTTGTGTGTAGTGATGGTGGGAGGGCTGTGGGAGTGTCCAGAACCTCGAACCTATTCTAAACTATGTGCTGTTGTTGTGAAAGGAGGGGCAAGAACCAGGGTTGTTTCACCCATTGGCTTAATTATGAAAATCCAGTCACAGAAATCTGGGTTCCTTGTGAGTTGTGTGTGTGGTTATTGGGGAGAGAATGTGTATGGTTATTGGGAGGTTGTGTGTGTGGTTATCAGGGGGTTGTATGTGTGGTTATCAGGGGGTTGTATGTGTGGTTATCAGGGGGTTGTATGTGTGGTTATCAGGGGGTTGTATGTGTGGTTATCAGGGGGGGTTTGTGTGATTATCGGGGTTGTATGTGTGGTTATCAGGGGGTTGTGTGTCTGGTTATCAGGAGGGGTTGATGTGTAGTTATCAGAGAGGTTGTATGTGTGGTTAATGTGTAGTTATCAGAGAGGTTGTATGTGTGGTTATCAGGGGTTGTGTGTGTGGTTATTGGGGAGAGAATGTGTATGGTTATTGGGAGGTTGTGTGTGATTTTCAGGGAGTTGTGTGTGTGGTTATCGGGGGTTGTGTGTGGTTATCAGGAGGGTTTTGTGTGTAGTTATCAGGGGGTTGTGTGTGGTTATCAGGATGGTTGTGTGTGGTTTTAAGGGGGTTGTTTGTAAGTTTATCATGGAGGTTGTGTGTGATTTATCAGGGGCTCGTGTGTCTGGTTATCAGGAGGGGTTGTGTGTAGTTATCAGAGAGGTTATATGTGTGGTTAATGTGTAGTTATCAGAGAGACTGTATGTGCGGTTATCAGGGGCGGTTGGCCCCCTCTCTCAGATGCAGTTAAATGAAATAAGAGGCCTCTAGCCTGCTCCAGTGCCCTCCTGAAAGGAGCATCTCCACTCCAGCCATAGGCAGTCTTCTCAAGTTTGCTTTTTGAAAACTAACTGGAAAACCAAGCCTGTAATTCCAGCTACTCAAGAGGCTGAGGCAGGAGGATTTTGAATTCAAGGCTAGTCTAGGCAAGTTAGTAAGAGCCTGTCTCAGCAGAGTTAGAAACAGAGTTGGAGATGTGGGTCAGTGGCCAGGTACTTGCTGCACTTGCCTAGTGTGCCAAGGCCCTGGGCCAGTCCTCTGCATGACAGAAGGATCGATGGGGGAGAAAATGAGCAGAACAGCTTTTCCTAGTAAATCACCAAGATGGCAAGTGACCTCTTCATGTTTACTCTGAACGGGTTCAAGCTGTTCCACGTATTGCCCTCCAGGCTCTGAACAATCTTCTGCATACATTGTCTATCACACCCCTTCAAATACATAGTCTCACTTCATAGATGAGCATACCAGAGTTCAGAAAAGTACACTTGGGGGCTGAGGTGGGAGGGTTGCCAGGAGTTCAAGGCCAGACTGAACTAGAAGGGTAGTGTCCTCGCTAACCAAGTAAGTAGGTGACAGAGTCAGACTTGGATCTTTCCAGACTGAAAAGCTGCATTCTTTCTGCTGTCTTCCCCTATCTTATCATTTGTTCATTCATTCATTCATTCTTAGACTAGGCTGGCCTTGGAGATCAGCTTGCTTCTGCCTCCCAAGTGCTGGGCTTAAAGATGCACACCAGTTCATCAGACTTATTTAAATATAGATAAAGAAGATAGTGAGTCTTCTAGCCCAGCACATCTCTCTTTCACTTCCACTTTTCAGTGAGTGTGGGAAGGGAGATGCATTACTGAAGCAGAAACAGCCCAGAAGGATCTCAGACTTTTCGTTTGCTGGCCTGAGACTCACAGAGATCCGCCTGCCTCTGCCTCCTGGGATTAAAGGCAGGCGCCACCACATCCAGGTCCTCCAATCTATTTTTTAAGGACTAATGTAATTCAGGCTGATTTTTGTTTTTCTCACATTCTATCCCAGCAATAGGATATCCAAACTGACCAAAATAAAAACGAGGTAAGTGACTGCTTGATTAAAATCCTCTACGTGTCTTTGCCTGACACAGAAATTTCTAGCAATTTATTAAAAGTTAGATGAGAAGGCTTTTGCTTTTATTTTGAGAAACTGGATTCTTGGTTTGTCTCATTTCCTGTAACTAGGGTTAAGAAGAACAGTGTCCACGCAGTCCAGAGAAAAGGAGATGTGGTTTTGGTATGGAATATGTAAGAATGCCTTCGAGCTTAACAAGGAATAATTTGTTAAGTGATCAGTATGGACATGGCTACGCAACCTATCTTTGTAGTAATTTTTCACATATAACAGAAAGTATTTGTTGTTTCTTTTGTTTCGTTTTGTTTGTTTGTTTGAGACAGGGTCTCTTTGTAGACCTGGCTGTCCTGAAACTGGAGATCGGGCTGGCCTCAAACTCATAGAAAGCTGCCTCCCAAATGTTGAGGTTAAAGTTGTGTACACATGCCCAGGTTTCTTTAAAATCAAATATAAATGCTAGCTGAAAATGAATAGAGTTTCTGAAAGATCAAATGTTACAGCCCAACTCCTTTAATTTTAGTACAAGCTTTGACTGTAGCTCCTGCAGCATAGCATGGGACTGATGAAATGTTCTAGGCACTTTGCCTAACTTAGGAGCTTGGTTCTAATTGTGGGACCTTCTTTTCCTTTCAGATGTAGAGGATTTAGACTGTGATGCTTTCGGAAGCTGTAGTAGCCATTCTGCAGTGAGCACACTTAGGAGCTGTGACTGGCCAGACAGGGGTGATGCATCTCAGGGCAGAAACCTCTCTCCATTTGTCCCCTCAGCAGGAAATGGGTCCTTCTCGGTCACCTCAGATCTTCAAAAGAAAGAGACCTCATTTGGCAGTTCTGAAAACATCACCATGTCATCTCTCTCCAAAGGAACAGCCTTGGCGAGCGAGGATGCGCTCCCAGAGACTCCCTTCGCAGCCTTCGCCAGCTTTAAAGACAAGATGCCCCAGAGCGTTGAGCAGAAAGAGTGCGAAAGTGAGGACTACCAGGACTTCACAAGGCAGGACCTGCCCACGGCGGCATGGAGCCACGAGACTGCATGTCCAAGCCCGGCTTCCAGTGTCGCCTCTCACGAAACCCCCAGGGACTGTGCAGATGACTTTGGAGAATTTCAAAGTGAAAAGCCCAAAATCAGCAAATTTGACTTTTTAGTAGCCAATTCACAAAGCAAAATGAAGTCCAGTGAAGAAATGATCAAAAGTGAGCTGGCAACTTTTGACCTTTCTGTTCAAGGTAAGTCTTTCTTCTCATAGGCTTGTTCCACTAAGGTGTTACATTCTTTCCTGAGAATACCACAGTGATTTTTTTTAAAAACAGGCATGGTGATGCATGTCTGTAACCCTCACATTCAAGAGGCTGAGGCAGGAGGATCATGAGTTTGTGGTCAGCTAGGTTATATAGTAAGCTTCAGGCCAGCCTAGGCTACATAATGAGACACTACCTTAAAAACTAAAAAGTAATTTCAAAGAAAAAGTAAAATGATGATTCTTTGTTTAGCAGGAAATGGATGTTCCAACTTGTAAGACTGCGATTTCCCTGGAGCTCAGTTCAGGTCCCTGTCCCTCATAACTGCTTATTGGAGAAAGACAAAGAGCATGTGGCTTTTCTTCACGCTCTAGTTTGCTTAGAAGTGTGCTATAAGCCAGATATGGTGGCAAACGCTTTAATTCCAGCACTTGGAAGACAGAGGCAGTCGGATCTCTGTGAGTTCAAGGCCAGCCTGGTCTACACAGTGAATTCCAGGACCACCAGTTACGTAGTGAGACCCTATCTCCAAACAAAGAGAAAGAACACGCAGTGCTCTTGCAAGGGACCTGAGTTTGGTTCCCAGCACCCACATCTGGCAGCTCACAACTACCTGTAGCTCTGGTTCCAGGGAATCTGCTAACTTTGGCCTCTGTGGGCACCTGCACTCATATACACATGTCCAAATATATAACACACATTTGTAATTAAAAGTCACAAAAATCAGTGCCTTTAAAAAAAAAGTATCTGTTTCAATTGATTCATAAAACCTGAAGTAATAGCAAACATTTTAAAATTAGGTATCTCAATCTGGATTTCTGGTTTTTCTTGCAAAGTTGTAATATCTGGCAGTGCAAGGCCTGCATTCAGCCAGTGACATGACGGGTCTCATGGCTCCTAGAAACCCATATGTAGTGAGGGGCTGCGGGCAGGCCTGCTTTTCATCCTGCCCAGCTCCCACACAGCTAGCTTAGCCCCAGAAATAATAACACACAAATTGTATTCATTTAAGCATTGCCTGGCCCATTATCTCTAGAGAGTTAGTTACTGACTAACTCTCATATCTTGATATTAACCCATTTCTAATAATCTGTATCACACCACGAGGTGTGGCTTACCAGGAAAGATTCAGCATGTCTGACCTGGTGGCTGGCTCCATGGCATCTGCCTCATTGCTCTCTTCCCAGCATTCTATTCTGTTTACTCCGCCTACCTAATTTTCTGTCCTATCAAGGGGCCAAGGCAGTCTCTTTATTGACCAATGAAAATAACACAATAGACAGATAACCCTCCTCCGTCACCCATATTTAGAAAGTTCCTTTGCATCTAGATGCCAGTGATTCAGACCTTAGGATTATATAGTGTGGTGATAGATCAGAGAAGAATGGGGGAACCAGAGGAAGGCTCCAGCCTCCCAGACAGAGTGAACGGAGACTGTGTTTGAGAATGCCTCCTGACTTGGTCACCTGTAATGACGGTCACATCAGCAAACAGACCCCTGCTCAAGCCAGGCTGAGTAACAGAACCTTTGTGCCTATTGTTCTCCCTGACTCAGGATCACACAAGAGGAGCTTAAGCCTCGGAGATAAAGAAATAAGCCGGTCCTCTCCTTCTCCGGCCCTGGAGCAGCCTTTCAGAGACCGGTCCAACACTCTGAGTGAGAAGACGGCGCTGCCCGTCATCCGAGACAAGTACAAAGATCTGACTGGCGAGGTGGAGGTAAGCTGGGCAGCCTCCTGGAAGAGCACTCCAGGAAAGGATGCTTTTCCATTATCCTGGGGGAGCGAGAGGGGAGGGATGAGGAGGAGACTCTGGACACCAGATGGCAAATAGCTCATTCGAGGTCCAGGCTGGCACATCAGCCCAGAATGAGCATGCTCCCTGTGTGTGACAGCCACTGAAGGTCCTGGGACTTTGTACGGACAGAAGCGTTTAAGAAAATCTTTTTCAAAACTTACACTTTATCATCCTACTGAATTTTAAAACAGCAACATAAAGAAAAGGAAAAAATATTTTGGATTTTTTATTTCTGGGTATGATATCTTAATTTCATCCCTGTTCCTGTAACACATACGAGTGTACACACACAACACACACACACACACACACACATACACACACTTACACACACACAGTAATGACCTAGGGAATGGAAAGCTGAAGTTCTATTCCGTGGAGTTTTTAGTTGTTTTTAGTTCAAGGACTTTATTTGGTTTGGTGGGGTTTGTTGTTGTTGTTTTGATTTTGAGACAGGGTTTCTCTGTGGAACTTTGGAGCCTGTCCTAGAACTCACTCTGTAGACCAGGCTGGTCTTGAACTCACAGAGATCCGCCTGCCTCTGCCTCCCGAGTGCTGGGATTAAAGGCATGTGCCACCACCACCCACCTTTATTGCTGTTTTAGGACACTCTCATGAAGCCCTGGTTGGCCTAGAACTCTCTATGTTGACCAGGCTAGCCTTAAACTCAGTGATCCTGCTTCTGCCCCCAAAGTTCTAGGATTTCAGGAGTACGCTCCTACACCTAACTAAAGCTGTAGAATGGCACAAGCTCATATACTAGAGACCTCCATGGTGACCAATAGAAGCTTACACTGTTACTGACTGGAGCAAATGAGGCGGTATTTACACAGAGAGGTTGCTGTAAAATAGGTCCTTCAAGTTCATATTTCTTGTCTCAGTGGATTTTGAATGACAGCTGTCTTTTGCAAGCATGCTTTCAGTAGAAAGGAATCTTCCAAGCCTTTTGTATTGAGAGAAGTCATAAACAGAGCACCCTCAAGCCTGCCTTGTTGAACTCAGTTCCTTTTATAAAACCCACAGGAAAACGAGAGGTACGCGTATGAGTGGCAGAGATGCCTGGGGAGCGCCCTGGATGTGAGTATGTCACTTCTGTGCTCCTGAGCTCTCTCTTGCACTGTTTTGTCTCCTCCTTGGTTCTTTTGAATGAATGCAGGAAAACACGAGGGATGCCTTACTTCCATCACTACACACAGCGTGGAAATCAGGCAGGGCTCTCAGAGAGATGACTCAGTATTTGAGAGCAGTGGCTGCTCTTCCAGAGGACCCGGGTTCAATTCCTAGCATCTACATGGCAGCTCACAACTGTCTGTGACTCCAGTTCCAGGGGATCCAGCACCCTCTTACAGACATACATGCGGACAAAACACCAATATATATATGACATAAAAGTAAATAATTTTTTAAAAAGAAAAGGAAACCGTGCACCTTAAAGTTTGCGGTACAGACACTGCTCATTGGCCAGCTGTTCCCGTCTGTCGCTGTGTTTAAGACATTGCAAAGTGGTAGCATCACCTCCGGCCTACATGAAAATAATATTTAAACTAAAGAACCTCTCTTTCTTCCCCCACCCATCCCTCCCTTCATAGACGTGAAGACTGGTTTCTTCAAAGTTAAATTCTTAGATTTGTCTCTGCATAGGCTCTTGCACACTCTGGTCGGGCACAGCTTTTCACACTGGTTGGGTTTTCTACTAATGAGAAATTGATTTGCAGTGACCTTTCTTGGTTGTACAGATAATGCGATTTCATTTCTTATAGGTCATTAAGAAAGCAAATGACACCTTAAATGGCATTAGCAGCAGTGCTGTTTGCACGGAAGTTATCCAGTCAGCCCAAGGCATGGAATATCTTCTAGGTATGTTCTTTGGTATTTCACACAGTGGACCGTGGCATGCTGTGTTAGTATCAGTGTTCACTCACTCTGAGTATTTCAGGTCTGCACGCCACTATCTGAAGCCTCACCAGCAGCTGCCTTCATAGGTAAAACGCCGAGGCCACGGGCAGCAGCTATTCTACTTAAGGTCTCTGTGGTGAAGTTTTCAAGTCTGGTGGCTGAAGAGATAGCTCGGTGGTTCTGAGAGCCTATTGCTTTTGCAGAGGACCAGAGTTCTGTTCCCCACACACGTTACTTGTCTCACAACTGCTGTAAATTCAACTCCAGGGGACACAACGTACCTTTCTGGTTTCCACGAGACCCTGTACACACATGGCATACATCCACACAGATTTACACATACACCTGAATAAGAATTAACATCTTAAACCAGTAACAGATATAATTCATTTATTTTTATCAACAAGTCTTAACTAGTAAGACACTTAAGTGGCACCGTTTTAAGAGCATCCTCCCTGTTCTCTATGCATTCTCCTCTCTGTCCCTTAGTAACATAAGCAGATTCCTTACCTTCCTGGCTGCCTTCAGCAGGCTGCCCTGTGGCCCGGGCCACAAACACAGGAGCCTGACGTCTTTCAGACCTTCCCACACCTGTCCCCTTGTCAGTAAGGCTTCCACTTCCTCTTTCTCAAGATCCCATCTCTTCTCCTTAGCCTTGGAGCATCTTACATGTCTCTCTGTTTACACTACCTCCTTCACTAGGGTGAACCTCTAAGAGGGAAAGAATTGGGGCTTGTTTTGTTCACCCCCACACCTCCAGTCCCTGACCTGGGGCCTGGCACAGAGGGCACACTGTGTGCTGACTGATGAGCTGCTAGTGAAGGGCTTGAGGGCTGGGCACCTTGACTCCACAGCCATAGTTCTCCCACCGGGAGGTGGCAGCTTTCCTCCTAGGAGCTTTCCTAACATATCCATGGGCGTTTGATTGGAGCAGCCCTTACTTCTTAGCCATTCCTGCCCTTCCTTTGGAGAAGAGGAGGAAAAGCCATGCTGTTGTGTATTCACTAACCAAGTCTGGAGTGTATGCCAGTTGGCTGCCTTTAGGATGAGGGGGAACTTGGTACCTCTCCTCCTAGCTTAAGAATTCAGCCTCTGGAGGCTGGAGAGATGCCTCAGCAGTTAAGAGTACTGGCTGTCATTCCAGAGGACCCAGGTTCAATCCCCAGAACCCAAATGGCAGCTCACTGATGTCTGTAACTCCAGTTCCAGATAGCCTCATGCAGGCAAAATATCAATGCACATAAGTAAGACAAAAAGAAAAAAATTCAGCCTCTGCCAGGCATAGTGGCGCACACCTTTAATCCCAATGCTCAGGAGGCAGAGGCAGATGGATCTCTGTGAGTTTAAGGCCAGCCTGGTCTACAGAGCAAGTTCTAGAACAGCCAAGACTACTTAGAGAAAAATAATTCAACCTCATCAGAAACCACAGGAAAAGAACAGTCCTAGCCAGGCTCATGGCCATAATCCTAGCACTAAAGATACTAAGGCAGGAGAATTGCTACTACTTAAAGACCAGTAGGTTACATAGTGGATCCCAAACCATCTTGGACTGCAAAAAAGCAAGCAAAACTAAAACCCCCAAATCAATGCACTTGCTGCCGAGACTGATGACCTAAGTTTAGTGACAAGACCTACTTGGAGGAAGGAAGGAGCCAGTTCATACAGCTTGCCCTCTGAACTCCAGAGGGGCACATGTGCCTCCAACTTGCAGTTTGAGATATGAGCTCTCAGCTCCTCCTACCACCACACCTTCACTCTGCCATTGTGGAGTATAGATCCGGAAGCCCGGGCAACACCTTTGTCTCTAAGTTGCCTAGGTCATGATGTTTATCACTGCAAGAGGAGAGTAAGAAGTGCATGTGTGTGCTCGCAGACCTGTCTCCATGCAGCTGTGTTCCTCCTAATCAACATCAGCAAACCGCAGCACTGCTTTGTCCTGCCTGCCTTTCCCATGCCTAACTCTCTCCTCTCTCTCCATCAGGCGTCGTGGAAGTGTACCGAGTAACCAGACGTGTGGAGCTGGGGATAAAAGCCACTGCTGTGTGCAGTGAGAAACTCCAGCAATTACTAAAGGACATCGATAAAGTATGGAACAACCTAATCGGCTTCATGTCACTCGCCACACTCACGGTGAGCCTGCAGCAGCCCCTCTTCTTTCCGGAAGCCTGTTTGAAGTAGAGAATATATTCTTAAGATGCACTTATTAGAGGATGAGTGTGCCTGCTGACCGCCTTGTGGTGATGGAGGGCTGAGATAGCAGTCCCAGACTGACTTTGGAGTTCGAAGGCCCATGGGCAAAATGAAGTGTACAACAAAATCTTTATCCGTAGTTCTTAATGTGTGTATTTGTGTTTGTGTGTGAAGGCCAGGGGACAGCCATGAATGTGTGTTCTCATCTTCTCCCTGTGTGAGACAAGGTCTCTGTTGGCAGCCTCTGTGCACACAGACCGGATAACCCACAGGCTTCTTTCTGAAGGTTCTGTCTAGCTCCATAGCACCAGCAGTACAGACATGTGACATTATACAGGTTCTGGGAAATTGAATTCATGTCCCCACGCTTGCGCAGAGAACCATCTCCCAGCATCCGTCATTCTTAATTCTTACACATGCAAGGTTTTTTGTTTTTTGTTTGTTTTTGTTTTTTCAGACAGGGTAGCTTTGGAACCTGTCCTGAAACTCACTCTGTAGATCAAGCGGGCCTTGAACTCACAGAGATCTCCCTGCCTCTGCCTCCCGAGTGCTGGGATTAAAGGTGTGCACCACCAACACCTGTTGCAAATTTTGCCAAAATGTAATGGTTTGAGGTCATCCCTTTGCACTTTTTTATGCCCCTGGTGTTCCTTAGGAAGCTGTGTGGTCAACCATAATGCTGTCCGACACTCATCGCTGTTATTACTTTTCTTGGGTTCGACTTTTTCATGTTATGAATAGCTCCACTCTGAATAAACAGATGGCTAACTCCCCTCTGGGTGTTACAATCTCTCAAAGTGGATGGCGAAGGCCAGAGTGTGTGCACATGCATGTAGCCTGCATGGCTGCTGCAGCAGTTTCCGGGTAGCGTGTAAGGCCTGCTGTATTCTAAGCCATAACTTACTGGTTCTGTTTCCATCTTCCATAAGCATTCTTTTGATGGAATGCATCTGTCGACATGTTTCTAGTCATAATATCCTAGGAAACATGCCAGTTTCCTGCTGTTATTTGTGGTGATATTTTGTTTGTGTTTTCACAAATAAAGTTTGTCTAAAAATCAGAGTGAAGAACTAAGCCACTAGAGGCCAGGTGGCAGTGGTTCACACCTTTAATCCCAGCACTAGGGGCCTGGGACTGGGATTATGACTGGGTGAAGAGAGGAGACAGGAGCTCCCCTTCGGTCTGAGCATCGGTAAAGGTAAAAGGTCTCTCTAGTGACTGCCGCTGTGCTTCTCTCTGATCCTTCAGCTCTCGCCCCCCATAGCTAATTTCTGGGTTTTATTATTAAGAACAATTAGAATTCGTGCTACAGTTACTAGTGTCTTCTCACATTTCCCTGGGCAGAACCTTTGTGTTTCCATGAGGAGTTCTCAGTGCTCTCCACTGACAGCCCATGATAGCCAGCTGGCCCATTGTGTCCTAAACAGCAGATCTCACAGCTGTTGCGTTGCTTCTCCTTTCGCTGGATTAAGTTCTTAATGAGTTTAAATAAGGGGCTGGAGGGATGGCTTCTGAGAGCCACATTGCTCGCTTGTTCGGTTTCTGTTTTTGTTTTGGTGGTGCTAGGGCTGGAACTCAAGACTCATGAAGGCCAGAGAAGTTATCTCTATTGACCCATACACCCCTACCTAGTTCTTTTCTTTTCTCTTTTTTCAAAAGCCCTTATCAGTCTATTCTTTGTGCCAGTACCAAGTTGTTCTTTATAAACTGCATAGCTGATTGTGTCATTTAAATCCCACTTAAAATCCTTCAGTGGGCTGGGCATTGTGGCACACGCCTTTAATCCGGCACTCAAGAAGCAGAGGCAGGCAGATCTCTGTGAGTTTGAGGCCAGCCTGGTCTACGGAGCTAGGTCCAGGACAGCCAGGGCTGTTACACAGAGAAACTCTATCTTGGAAAACAAAACCCAAACCAAGCAAACAAATAAATGTGTGTGTGTGTGTGTGTGTGTGTGTGTGTGTGTGTGTGTTCCTGCAGTGGGCCTCCGTGGTCTTCAGGACCTTAACCAAACTTAGTGTGGTGTTTCCTGTTACTGAACTAGACTGCTTTCTCTCTGAGTTCAGCATAGTTTTCCCCAGAGGGCATTCCCAGTACCCTTTAGTCTGAATCAGAGGCCCTTCCTGTGTGAGTATCTTTAGACCATTTCTCTTTCACATCCCATAATGCTTACCTCATTCATTACTTATCTTATTATAACAAAATACCTCACTAAAGCAACTTGAAGAAGGGGTTGTTTGGCTCCCAACTTGTGGTGCCGGCCATCCTGGCAGAGAAGATGCGGTGTTATGAGCTCCCAACCACTGATCCCATTGTGTGGGCAGACAGGAAATGAAATGGTGATCTGTGGGTACTGGCCCTCCCCCTTTCTCTCTCTTGTGTTCCAACTGAGTTCCATGGTTCACTGTGTTCAGAGCATAAAAATAAACTTGATAGTCAGAAGGGGTTTGCTGGCAAGAGTACCAGAAAGGATTTCTTGTGTTCACCTTCCAGGCTCCATGTGAGCCCGACACCCAAGACAGAGAGCCCTGTAAGAGCCAAGTGCATCTGAGGGCTCACATATCCAGAATCACTGTTTTGCTGATGCCACTTCAGAGCACGCTTTTCCAGTTGTCCTAAATGTACAGCCAGCAAAGGAAGCCAGCAAAGTGTGCAGAGCATTGTTCCTTGTAAAAGAAAATTTGGAAACTGCCTGAAAGCCCTGGAATCTGGAGAATTAGTGAAGTAACCCGTGGTGGCTCTTCATACGAGGTGTTGTGGGCATTTTGTCAGGGCTTCCTCCACATAACAGAACTGTAGCCACATGGCCGGGAGGAGGGCTGTCACCATGGTGATTAGGTTGTGCTTAGTGATAAAATCCTGTGTTTAGAAGTGTTCTCTGCTTTTTCAACTTTCTTTAATGAATATTTATTGCATTTCTAATGGAAAATAAATTTCCCCTCTGGTAGAGAAATTTCCCTCTGCCTTCACACACTCGAAACCCTTTTGGTGCTGTGGTGTTCTCCTTCAGTCGTTCTGATGGTTGTCCAGTCCCCTGAACTCTGTGGCAGGGTCTTTAGCTGCATTAACTCTACACAGCAGCTTGACATCTTCACTCTGCCACCATCTTGTCCTGAAGCGGAAGGACCAGAGGCATCTGGTCTGCTCTCTGCTTCATCCTATCTTGTAAAGGTGAGTTAGGCAGGCAAAATCGAAGATGTACAAAGGCTTTTGCTGGGGAGTAGATTGGCAGAGCATAAGGTTAGTGAGAAAAATTTAAAACAAACAAACAAAAAGCCAGGAGCTTGTCCTGGCACACTGTAAATCAAGTCACTTTCTGTATCTCACCCCCTCCATTTATATCCCAGGATGGTAGAGTGTTACAGGCCTCCCACTTTGCACTTGAGTGTGAAGGTTCCTTGTTTTGGTGGCAGTCAGTTCTCACTTCTTCCTGCAGTCATCCGGCAGCCCTCCTCTTCTGGTGCTGCTGGAGAAAGCTGACACGCCTTCGGGGGCGCCCCCCCAGCTCTTAGAAAATAGCCCCAAGCCCAAGGACATCAGCCAAGCTTGGTGTGCATTTGTCCTTCCCGTTAGGGTGAAGAATAACCGGGAAGTGACCGCCCTGGTTGCTGGCCTGTGTTCACTATGTAAAGTGGCTGCTGTCACTAGGGGCAGTAGAAGTCATTTTCCTTGGGCTGCATCTTCCCCAACTCCCAGGCACCTGCGTTCTGCCACTGTTCATGAAAGGACTTGCTGTAGGCTCGCCTTGTCACTCCAGGCCACTTTTGAGTTCACACACAGCAAAATGGCAAACTCTTAGTAACATCGCACCCTGAGTTCTGTGACTTTCCCGTCTGTGTCACCTGTGCCCTGTCAAGCTGTGGCCTGTTTCACCCTCCCAGACAGCCTCCTTACACTTCCCAGTCTCTGTCCATCTGCAAGATTTACACCCAGCATCACTTTTGTCCAGACCTTTTCAAAGAAGCCATGGGATTCAATTTTGTGACTTTGAGGGAAGTGGGAAGTGTGTCACCGTTTAATTAGAGTGTTCTGTTCCATTCATATCTGGTGTCTCTAACATACTTAGCAGGGCCAATATATTAGGGAAAGGGAGAAGAGTTCACAGTCATGCCTTCTCCTCAGATGCTGTCTGCAAGCCTCCACTCCCAGTACCCAGATCTAGACTCACGAGGGCACAGAGGTTCATGGTCTCCCCTCCGCGGTGCTAGAGTGCGTGCAGAGTGGACATGAACACTTGTCTTCACCTCCTGATTAGCCGTGTCCTTCTGTTATAATTGTTTGGGGTTTTGTTTTGTTTTGTTTTTGTTCTGTGACAGAGCAATGATGGTTCTCTGTCCACATTCTTTTCTAGGTTACACCATGCCATTTCCTCTTGAGAGTGGGGAGATGGGTTCTCAGTCTGTAAAGCTAACTTGAATTCCCCATTGCATGAGGAATAGCATGTATCTCACAGAAATGTTAAGGTGTGAACTGTCTTTAATGAGCCTTAACTGTAACAGAACTGACCAAAAAAAGCCATAAAATAGCATAAAACACAACATCTGAATACGTCAGTCAGCTGTACCACAGCTCTGAAAACCCAGCAACCCTGGATGAGATGCTCAGAGATAAAAGGTCATTACTAGAGAGAGGCAGGCTTAGGTGGTCCAAAGGTTTATACTCTTAAAAGCACCTTTGTTTGATTTGGAATAAATGAGCTCCTTAAGGGACCACACTGCCATACTGCCGGGTACCAGGTCACGTTTGCAACTAGGACACTGTGGTGGTTTGAATGAAAATGGCCCCCAACGTTCATAGGGAGTGGCACTATTAGGATGAATGGGCTTGGAATAGGTGTGACCTTGTTGGAGGAAATGTGTCGCTGGGGAGGGTGAATTTTGAGGTTTTAAATGCTCAAGCCAGGCTGTGTCTCTTTCTTGCTGTTGTCTGCTGAAGCGAGACCT